ACCTATTGGCTACATGTGAAGAACCAGACTTTCATCAATCAGCTTCTGGACTCATAATAAAGATAAATACCGACTTGGCAATAGTTTGTATCTACCGCACACCAGCAATAGACAATATAAATAGTTTTCTCTTAGTCCTTAATAACATTCTTCTGTCACTACGTATACTCAAATCTGTTGTCATAACAGGTGATTTAAATTTAGATATCAAACCCGATACGCTTGACTCGCGATCTCACGAATATTTGAATTGTCTTGCCTACCACGGCTATCTTCCTGCCCATACTCTTCCAACCAGGAGTAGCAATTGCTTGGATCATACGATCCTAAGAACAAAGTCTCCCACTCTTACTTTTGTCTATAGCTCCTCAGTAACTGATCACTGTTCCACATTACTTTGCATACACACTCAACATATACGAATGGCCTCAACTTCGTTCATCACCAGGATCGACTATAAGGGTCTTGACAAATCAGTATTACAACTGGACTTCACCCCTCTTTTTTCTATAAGAGATGTAAATATTGCTACCGATAAATTCATTAAATTAGTAACTTCCGCCATTTCCGATAACACGACAGTAAAAAAAGTTCCTTCGAAAAAGAAAATTCTCAAACCTTGGATTACTCCTGGTTTATTACGGTGCATAAGAAATAGGGACGCTCTACATAAAAAAGTTAATAACTCTCCTGGTAACGACGTACTAAAAATTACCTACAAGAGATACAGAAATTTTTGTAATAGTATTTTGAAAAAAGCGAAGAGACTATATGATATACAGGAACTAAGTAAAGCAACTAATAACCCAAAAAACTTGTGGGATACTATAAAACGAGTAACGAACACCGTTAAAAGTAAAAACCCTTCTACACAATTACTAACTTTATTACCTTCACCTAAGCAGTCGTGCAATAGTGTAAATTCGTACTTTGTAAATATTGGAGAGAAACTCGCAAATTATATAATCAACTGCAGAACAACAATCTCCCCGCAAACCCCATCTAACATCACATCTACTTCATCTTTTGTCCTAGATCCTAGAGATCCTAATGAAATTATTTCAGTTATAGACTCCTTACGGTCTAATGCTGCTACTGGTTGGGATGGCATTTCGCCTTCCTTCCTAAAGAAATACTCAACCACTCTGGCACCGATCTTATGCCATATAATTAATCTTTGTTTCGACACTGCTGTCTTTTCCACGTCACTTAAAAAGGCAATTATTCATCCAGTCTTCAAGGGAGGTGACGGGAACGTACCAAATAATTACCGTCCCATAGCGGTTCTCAGTACTCTATCAAAGGTTCTCGAAAGATTTAAAAGACTAGTTTCCTACCTCGAACATTATTATTTAACTTCTTCACAGCAGTTCGGCTTTCGAAAAAATAAATCGGCTAATGATGCAGTTCAAAGTTTAACCGATCATGCAGTTTAGAACTTGAATCAAGGCAAAAAGGTCCTAACTATATTTTTGGATCTCGCGAAAGCGTTTGACACCGTTCCTGTCTCGACTCTCTTACTCAAATTAGAAAAGGTAGGTGTCAGGGGGTTGCAACTAGATCTCTTTCAAAGTTACCTCACAAATCGCTCCCAGACAGTCAGGATTGATGATCACAATAGTGATGATCTCCCAGTCTAGTTGCGGCATACCACAAGGAAGTATATTAGGTCCCACACTATTCTTAGTGTTTGTCAACGATCTATGCAACCTTAATATTCCAAATGCTAAGATTATATCATTTGCAGATGATACTGCAATAACATTCGTCGCCGAAACATGGTCTGCACTTGACTCTTAAAATGGCTTCGACCTTATAACAAATTGGCTCTATTCCCACACACTAACCCTTAATGTCTCCAAAACTAAACTTATTACCTATTCTATTAGTTCAGTCTCCCAACCAAATTTACCAATATCCCTTAAAGCCCACTCTTGCCACAGACATACTCAGGTCTCTTGTCAATGTCCAACCATATCCTCTGTTGACAATATTAAATACCTAGGTATAATCTTAGATAAAAACCTAAATTTTAAAAGCCACATTAATCTTCTCACTGGCAGAGTCCGTAAATTAATTTACATATTTAAAACCCTAAGAAGTATTGCTAACCCATTATTACATACTGTATTTCCTGCTGGGGTGGTGCTGCTAAAAGTAACCTAATGAAGCTGGAGGTGGCACACAGAGCCATTTTGAAAGTGGCTACTTTCCGGTCTATCATATTTCCAACTAATCAGTGACTAGAACGTCCTTAATGTTCGGCAACATTTTATTCTGCAAACAGTTCTAATGCAGCACCGCAAAACCCCTTACAGGGAAACAAGTAAACGTCGAAAAGACAAAATTTGTTCTCTTCCACAAGTTCGCTTATCATTCATTAAAAGATTCTTTTATTTCCTGGGTCCGTCTCTTTACTACAAAATAAGCGAAAAATGTCCTATATATGGGTTATCATTATATAACTGCAAGAAAGCTGTCCGCTCATACCTTCAAAACACATCTTATGACGAAACAGAAAAATACCTAAACCGACTGATTATAAAATAACTAACCTGATTTATCTACTCTCTCACACAAACACACACATGCACACGCAAACACACACGCACACCCACGCATACGTACGCACACACACTCAAACACACGCACACACATACACACGCATTCATTTCTCAACTTTATAATTATAATTTGAATAATTTGAATAACTAGAAATTGATATAATTGTAGCACTTTTAAATGTATGCATGTAAATATTATATGCATAATGTTATGGGGATTGAGACTGTTACTCCTTAATACAGGTTATTCTGTAACCTACCTAGGAGTGCTGAGCTACATCCACTAGATTTAAGGACATATTTTATAGATAGTACAAACAATGTTATGTCACACCAATGTACTACAATCACTGTATATAAATAAAGTTATCTTATCTTATCTTAAATTTTTGTGTCTGTTGAATGATCCATCTTATGATCAGACTATTACAGTTCCTGATAATTTAAAAGAGGACATGGTTTGGTGGTTTAATAACATTAGTAACAGTAACGCTTCTATAAAATTGCACTCCTATAAACTAGAAATCTTTTCTGATGCCTCTCTTATCGGTTGGGGAGGATATTGTAATAATCAGAAAGTTTTTGGTTATTGAAAAGAGAAGGAAAGGACATTGTACATAAATTTACTAGAGCTTAAAGTGACGTTTTTTGCTTTAAAAGTATTTGCCAGAGATTGCAGCGATATGGAGATTCTTCTTAGAATCGACAATACAACTTCAATCGCCTGCATTAATAAAATGAGTAGCGTCCTAAATCCACATCTTGAGGATGTTACTCGTCAAAAATGGCAATGGTGTGAAAGGAGGAAACTTTTTTTGCATCATATACCAATACGGAAGAAAATCTAGGCGCCTAAAAACTCTAGAAAAACTTTTATGGATACTGAATGGTAACTTGCTGATTATGCATTCCAAGAAATAATCGACAATTTTAGCATTCCGGCGATTGACATATTTGCAAGCCGTAATGCTTCCGATGCTTTTACTACTTCCTGGGAGAATCTAAACTTTTATGCCTTTCCGCCATTTTGTCTAGTACTAAGAATGCTTAAGAAGATTATTCAAGACAAAGCCGAATGTATAGTTGTTATACCTAATTGGCAAACTCAGTCATGATTCCATTTGCAACAGAAACTGAAAGTTTCTGAGACAATTTATTTTCAACCTAATAAAACTCTGCTTAAATCACCTTTCAGGAATTCATTTTCAGGAATTATCACAAACTGTACAGATCGCTCAGACTGATTGCCGTGAAGTTGTCCGCCAAACATTGCTGGAACGACACCTCTTCCCAAGAACGGTAGATATAATGCTATCTTCCCTCACAGATAGTACATACAGGCAATATGATGGGTGCTTAAAAGCATGGATGAAGTATCGTCAAGTTAATAATTACTGTCACAAAACTGCATCTATTCTAGTTTTTTACATTACCTTAGCAGCTTTTTTATCAGGGAGTAAAGTACGGTACTATTAACTCACACAAATCAGCGATAAAACTTTTAAAGTCAAACAGTCTTGAAGACTTAAGACTTAAGAGATTTATGAAAGGAGTATTCAGGTTACGACCACCTAAATATGACTTAGTTTGGGACCCTAATATAGTTTTAAATTATCTTGAAAAGTTTTGGCCAAATGATGGATTGACACTCGAGGTATTATCTAAGAAGACAGTCGCATTTTTGGCGTTAGTAAAGGCACATACCGCCTTATTCCAAAACACGGACTTAATATAGTACTGGAGTTAGTAATATATTTAAACCATAAACTAAGAAAAACGTTATTACAAAACGAAGATTATCTCTGGTTCAAGGATTATCTATGGTATTAAAGTTAATCTTTCGAGACCCCTAGTTTAGCTATGGTACTAACCTTTCTATATAGTTTGTGGTACTCTATACTAACCTCAATTTCGGTACTTCTTCATTTGAGGTGAGCGTTGTTTTCATTTGGTGTTATTAAAATCGTTAAAAATGGATATTAACATGATTGACTTGATGGATTTACAAGATTTGGACATGCTGGAGACCACTCGGCGACCTGATAGACATCGACATCGTGTGAATCCGTTTGAATTGAGTGACGAAGATTTTAGGTATAAGTATAGGTTCTCAAAACGTTTCGGAGAAAAAATAGTGGGTATCTTACGTGAGGATTTAGTGCACGACCCTCGAGGATGCCCATTGAGTCCTGAAATTCAAGTGGTTTGTGCATTACGCAACTGGGCTCGCCATGAAGTAAGTGCTGTTTATAATCTTGGTGGGGTCAATGTACCTAACATTACGCTAGATAAAAAGCCAAATAATACATATTATTGTTTTATTCGTAGATTCAAGACGATACAGCTAATTTACATAGTGTGTCTCAACCAGTAGTCAGTAGGACATGTAAAAAAGTAGCGGAAATTTTGTCACGGAATTCCCGAGAATTTATTAAAATGCCTACTACTTTAAATCAACAACAGGAAACCATTAGGAAATTTCGCAGTATTGCTAATTTTCCTACAGTAATTGGCGCAATTGACTGTACTCACATACGAGTAAAGAAAGTGAATGCTGATGGGGGTCAGTTATATATTAATAGAAAAGGATTTTCTTCAATTAATGTACAGGTAATATACAAATATTTTAAATAGCTGTGATTGTCTCTTAATAACTTTACTTTATCATAATAGAAAATAATTTGTTTGACTATCTTATGGTAACAAATATATATTAAAATAAACCAGAAAAACATAAAGTACTAATGAGCTCTTATTTTACAGGTGGTTTGTGATGCTGACCTGAAAATCATGGACATTGTTACCAGGTGGCGTGGTAGTGTACATGACTCCAGAATATTCCGAGAATGTAGACTAAAACAGAGGTTTGAGGCTGGTGCATTCTCTGGAATATTACTTGGTGACAGTGGCTATCCTTGTACTCCTTACCTATTTACACCGCTGCTGAACCCCACAACACCACAAGAAGACAAGATATAATAGGAGCCATATCCGTACCAGGAACACAGTGGAAAGATGTTTTGGTTTGTGGAAGCAACGGTTTCGTTGCCTATTAAGAGGTATGTTTGGAGATATTGAAACAGCAAAAAAACAATTGTTGCATGTGCTGTACTACACAATATGGCCATCGACATGAGAGAAGATGTGTTTTCTGGTGAGAGAGATAGCATTGAACAATATTCATCTGAACCTATAGTACAAAGATATATTACACCATCAATAAGGGGAAATATTAGAAGAAGACAGTTTATTGAAACTCATTTTCAGTAGGTAAACATTTTTTTTACATATTTATATAACTATTTATAATTTAAATTTATAATTATATTTATAAAATTGTCAAATTTTTTTCAATTGTCTAAAGCTATGTATATATAATTTATTTTATTTTGTTATTCAGAGGCCAATTTTGGCTATAAAATTACATTAAAGATCAATAAATGTATAAGACAATTATAATAATATTTCTTTTTGATTTCAGACATAATACCCATTTATAAAGGAACATATTTCTGCAGAGCCGTTGTCAGCTGTCAAAGAATAACGACTACATATTCACCAATATGAAATAAATTCAGGGCAGTATTGTGATAATATTTCATTTATTGAGCAAAATGCTTTTATTTAGGCTATAAATGATTGTGTTTCAGGGAAAGATGCGGGGTACAGCACATTCCACATCAATATGAAGCTATATTATATAAAGATTTAAGTGCTGTAGAGATATGTTTAGATTTTTTAATAAATATCGTCCCTCCTCTACATTCACAGCCGGATTTCCTTTCCAGAGGTGCAAGGGTCCACGGGGAGTAGGACTGTATGATAACTAAGTAAATAGGTTTAGTATTTTTTATTATAGTTTTTTACTATTGTATATTATATTTCATTGTTATGTAAATAAAATGCATATTAATTATAATTATTTATTTTAATTATTAATAAAAGATGTACAAATATTTGCAGCAATTAAGTACCTGAAAATAATAGTTTCATATATGCCGTGTAGTGGCGGTTAAGAATATCCACTACCCCATATCTTCCCGTGGGTGTCGTAAAAGGCGACAAAGGGAAACAGGCAGGAGATGGGCAGCAGCATCTTCCTGATAATAGCCAAAATAACAATAAAAAAACTGCGGTTGCCAACCCGCTCGCCAAGCGTGGCAACTATGGCAATATACCCCCCATGAGCAATGACAATAATAAACGGCCCCCAGTCCCCGGCGGCCCCGCTATTCCTGGCTACGGTGGCGACCATGGTAACGGCGGGGCAGGGGGTGCTAAGAATCTCCGGTGGAGGTTCGGTTGCCACCTACGACGACTCGACCTGGCAACTTACAACGCACGCACCCTGAGGACTGACGAGAAGATTGTGGAGCTGGAAGAAGAGATAGACAAGTTACGCTGGCATATTATAGGATTATCCGAAGTCCGAAGAGAGGGGGAGGACACGGTAATCCTCGAATCCGGCAACTTGCTCTATTACCGGGAGGGCGACCATCTGTCCCAAGGAGGTGTCGGATTTATCGTCCACAAGTCTCTCGTTAACAACGTTGTAAAGATTGAGAGTGTGTCGACGAGGGTTGCGTACCTTATACTCAGAATCACCAAACGGTATTCGCTGAAGGTCATACAGGTTTACGCACCAACCTCGGCACACCCCGATCAGGAGGTGGAGGAAATGTATGAGGATATCTCTAGAGCCATGCATTCCTCCAAAACCCAATATACGGTGTTAATGGGAGACTTCAATGCAAAACTAGGCACAAGAGAGAACGGTGAGCTGAAAGTAGGGAAATTTGGAATAGGGCAACGGAACCCAAGGGGCCAGCAGCTGGCCGACTTCATGGAGAAAGAGGGACTCTTTATGATGAACTCTTTCTTCCAGAAGCGGCCCCACAGGAAGTGGACCTGGTCGAGCCCCGACGGTTCGACAAAAAATGAGATTGACTTCATTATGACGACCAGACGACAACTGTTCAGTGATGTCTCAGTGATCGCGAGGGTGAAAACCGGCAGCGATCACCGAATGGTTAGAGGCACACTGAACCTAAACGTTAAGTTGGAGAGGTCTCGTCTAATGAAGTCAACGCTCCGTCCCCCTCGTGCTCTAATCCAAAGTCCCGAAACCTTTCAGCTCGAGTTACAAAACCGTTTTCAGTGCCTAGAAGACTGCAATGAAGTGGACGATTTGAATGACAAGCTCGTGGAAACTGTCCATGCGGTCGGAGCTAAGTTCTGCAAGACCCGCCGCAGAAGAACACAAAAACTCTCCGATCACACTCTTAATCTCATGGCTGTTAGACGGGAGATGAAGCTACATTCTTCAACAGATTTAACAGCATACAGGCAACTGAACAGACAGATCTCCAAATGCATGCGGCGGGACTTACGCAAATTCAATACAGCTCGTATTGAAGAAGCGATCGAGCGGAACCAAGGCTCCAAAGTCTTTGCCAGAGATCTGTCTGCCAGAAAGCGCCAACTGTCAAAGCTGAAGACAGAATGTGGCAGCATCGTTTCCGGGGCACCTGAGATTTTGAGTGAGATTGAGAGGTTCTATGGGCAGCTGTACACGTCATCGTTGGAGCCGCACGCAAGTGTGAGTAACGATCCAAGAGCGAGTCTTATCCGACATTATTCCGATGATATCCCGGACGTCAGTCTGAGCGAGATTAGAATGGCTCTCCAGCACCTTAAAAACGGCAAGGCCCCAGGCGAGGATGGAATTACAGCGGAGCTTCTGAAAGCGGGTGGAAAACCGGTACTTGAAGTCCTTCAGAAGCTCTTTAATTCCGTCCTTCATGGTGGCATTACACCGGAGGCGTGGAGCAGAAGTGCGGTGGTCTTGTTCTTCAAGAAAGGCGACAACGCTCTCTTGAAGAACTACAGACCGATTTCCCTTCTGAGCCGCGTCTACGTGCTGTTTTCGAGAGTCATTACGAATCGTCTCGCGCGCAGACTTGACGACTTCCAGCCTCCCGAACAAGCCGGTTTCCGAAAAGGCTTTAGCACCATAGACCACATACATACCCTTCGGCAAATTGTACAGAAGTCCGAGGAGTACAATTTGCCACTATGTCTGGCGTATGTGGACTATGAGAAAGCCTTTGATTCCGTCGAAATTTGGGCGGTGCTGCAGTCCCTTCAGCGATGCCAAGTTGACTGTCGGTATATCGAAGTGTTGAAGTGCTTGTACAGTAGGGCTACGATGGCTATCCGAGTACAGAACCAGAGTACGAAACCTATCCAATTGCAGAGAGGTGTAAGACAGGGTGACGTCATATCCCCGAAACTCTTTACCGCTGCATTGGAAGATGTTTTCAAGCTTCTGGACTGGAAAGGATACGGTATCAACATCAATGGCGAGTACATCACTCACCTTCGATTTGCCGACGATATAGTCCTTATGGCAGAATCGCTGGAGGACCTAAGCACTATGCTCAATGACCTCAATAGTGTTTCCCAACGGATAGGTCTTAAGATGAACATGGACAAAACAAAGATCATGTTTAATGTCCATGTCACACCTATGCCGGTAGTTGTTGGGAACACTAAGCTCGAAGTTGTTGACGAGTATGTTTACCTGGGACAAATAGTCCGACTAGGTAAGTCCAACTTCGACCGAGAGGTCAATCGACGGATTCAACTCGGTTGGGCAGCGTTCGGGAAATTACGGCACATCTTCTCGTCAGGTATACCTCAAAACTTGAAAACGAGACTGTACACCCAGTGCGTGTTGCCAGTGATGACATACGGAACTGAGACGTGGTCCTTCACTGCTGGCCGGATGAGGAAGCTCAAGGTCGCTCAGCGAGCTATGGAGAGGGCTATGCTCGGAGTTTCTCTGCGTGATAAACTCAGAAATGAGGATATCCGCAGTAGAACTAGAGTGACCGACATAGCCCAACGGATTAGTAAGCTGAAGTGGCAATGGGCCGGCCATATAGCTCGAAGAACCGACAACCGATGGGGAAGAAAGGTTCTCGAGTGGCAGCCTCGTACCGGCAGGCGAAGTGTAGGGCGTCCCGCCACTAGATGGAGTGACGACCTGGTAAGATATGCAGGAAGTCGATGGATGCAGGTGGCTCAGGACCGTGCTTTGTGGCATTCTTTGGGGGAGGCCTATGTTCAGCAGTGGACTTGTGAAGGGCTGTAATGATGATGATGATATGAGGATATTTACAAACATGTATCTGATATAGTCTCAAATATTTACTAATTTTTTTTTATAGGATAATGGTGATAAACACAGTCTACCACACACACACACACACACACACACAGTCCATCTGATGTTAAGTAACTGCTGTGGTGCATAGACGTCCACATCTATCCTCGACTACAAATCAAAATGCAGATGCGTTGTCACCCGTGTGGAGTAAGATATAATGCCTCGTTTCCTGTAAAAGAGGTCTCTCTCATACAAAATTTGTACAAAAATTTATCCAAAATTTGTCAATAAACAAGTTTAAATGTTTTATTAAAGAAAAATTTTATAAAAAGGTTATTATAATATCAAAGAATACATAAATGAAAATATTGGAAATACTGGAATTGAGGTGATCGCCACCATGGTGGTTCTATTAAAATTCATTTAAAAATTGTACAAATAAAATTATTGTTAAGAGAAATATGTTTATAAAAAAGTCCCACTGGGTTTCTTACTAGTTCTTCCCAGGACTGAGGTATTTTCCGAACCAGTGGTAAATAAAAAATGTCTTTCAATAAGTATTCTGTAATAATCTATATTTAATAAAAATCATTCTATTCTATTCTCGTTCTATAAACTCACCATAATAAACACAGCAGCATTAAGCTGCTATTTAACTTGTGTTTTTCTGACTTTCTGATAAAGATATTTGTAACTCTAATTTTCTAATTTTTAGGTTAGCTATTTTAATATTGTATTTATGTTCCTCTTCCATCATTTCCAGTTGTCTTTTTTTAAATCTGTGTTACTTTTTACAATTGTTTGGTGTACATCTTCTCTTCTGTAAAATGAAATGGAATACTTAATGTAAGTTTTGTAGTTATTTTAGACATTTACAAAGTATTCTAGAGTAATAAAAGTGCACTTAACCTTGTACACCAATTAAAGAAATATTTTTTAATTATTTTTAAATCAATTCATATTAAACTTTGCTTTTAATATTTGAAAACATGAAACAATTTTCAGTGTTTAAATACTAATTTTCACATTTTAAAAAGTATGTAATGTATCAGACTATGTAATTTTTTCAACATACCTATTTTGCAAGCTATTTTTCCTGTTTTTAATTTTTGTTATACCCCTAGTAATAATATCTTTATTGTTGGTTATTTTCACCATTTTGGCACTTTCTTCTGTATCTGTAGTTGGATCTATCTCTAAAAATTAATATAAATATAACAGTTTTAGAAAATTAACATTTATAATATTTACAAACTTGTATGCCTATGATTGTAACTATAATAATAATATATTTTGCTTTTTAATAAATATTCAATCAGTATTATTTACCTTGCACATATACAACATTGGGTTCTGGATTTTCTACATTTTTAACTATAGCTGTGTCTGTTTTTTCAAAATTAAGGCGAGGCTTAGGGTCAGCAACTTCTTTTGATGTTGTAGCCACAGTCACTGGATCCTAAAATAAATCATTAAAACATTTATTAACATGTTTTCCTGTCACCTGTCACCTCTATTTTGCCCTTTATTAAATCAGGTATTTTCTATGTTGTAGAAATATTATTATGATCCAAGACAAAAGGTAATTTAATAAATTATTAATTATAATACCTAATAGACAAAAATAGAAAATTATAATCGGACTGTGTAGATAATCTAGTAACATGTGTGTTATGATATTATATAGACCACTATATATTAATTTGTGACATTTCAATTTTGAATATAATTAATTATAAAGAAATTTATGTTAAATTGTTACTAAGTATATTAAATTTTGAATATTCGGAAAATAATTTTGGATTGTAAATTGTATGCTTTAAGAGTAGATTTCAGAGCACTACCTAGGTACTAAAGTAATGGAAAATAAAGTTCTTTAATTTTAATTAAATTTGTAAGACATGTAAGTAATTTTATTTACCACTGCATCACTATCATAATTATTAACTTCAACGATAAAGTCGTGAGGGGCAATGGACATTATTTCCAAGTCCTCAAGAGAAGGTGATGGAGGTTTTCCGCCACCCCCGGTCTTTGATTGTTCCCTCCTATATGTGTATAAGTTTGATTTAGCACACAACTTCATTCTTTTCCAAGATAATTTCAATTCACCATCTGATCGGCGTTTACCTGTTATCTCATTAAATCTAAAAAAAAATACGAAATCACGTAAACAATACCGTACCGTGTTGTTTGTACACATAACAAATGCGATAAGTACTTACTTATTAGTTATATTCTTCCACTCTTTTATTTTTTGAATATTTACCGATGTTTTTGTCGACTTATTCTCTATTATATGTGCTGATTGTGAAATAAGTGAACGTAATATTTCCTATAATAATAAGAACATTCCTTTTAGTTGAAATAAGGATAATAGGAGGATAAGAGTATTGGTACGTACTGACAAATAAATTTCGATATTTCACTAACTTTTTCTTCAGAACTCCAATTTTCACCCCGTTTTTTCTTTTGTTCCATTATTATATAAATATAACTGTAATAGCAAGTACTTTTAATTAATTAATTATTAATAATTTAATTTACTTATTATAAGGCTGCAATATAAACTATTTTGAACATCTCGAATCCCGCGCTCGCGTTACCTCTGTAATTCACTACATTTCACGCTAGAGTTGTTAAACTGAAAACAACTTGATATAATCAAAAGCGCGTCAAAAGTATATGTCGTGCTTGTTCAATAGATTTTAACGTAAACAAATAACAATGTATGATATGTTTTTGTATTGATGGATAATTATTTAAGCATAATTAAGTGTGAAAATAATATTAATATTTTATGAAACCGAACGTTGCATTGAATGAAACCTGTATGAACGAATGATAGAGTGTCATTTTTTGTTTTTTATCTGTGAATGATATTTAATATAATACTAACGTTGGTATTAACTGGTCCTCGGGTAGTCTGCGTTTTGTAATAAGCACACGTTTTAGTGCTGGTATTAACTAGAATATTGTAACAAACCTGGACTTCTTACTCCTAAACTTAACCCAGTACTAAAACATTTTTTTGGAATAAGACTGATAGAGTTTAAACTCTTTCCCTAATAAAAATAGCCAAAGTTTTAGCTGTCGAAAATAGTGATTAAGATTTCAGATTTAATTAAGACTTTTAGATTAAACGTTAATCAAACCGTGTTAAAGGTCCCTTCTTTCACTCCTAAACCATGAACCTATCCGGCATCTTGTTTAATTACGTACACAAATAGGACTAACCCTGAACGGATTAACAATCAAGATTCACTATTTATCAGTTTCAAAAAACCACACCTCGCGGTTTCTTCTCAAACATTAAGCCATTAGATAAAATGAACGTTATCTAACAGTGGCATTGACACATCAATATTTAAGGCTCATACCACTCGTCATGTGTCTACTTCGTCTGCCAATAGATTAGGTGTGAATATCGTTGTAATTAGAAAGGCCGCCGGGTGGAGTGAAACCTCTAGCGCTTTTGCTAAATACATATAAAAAACACTCAAAACTACCTTGCGCGATCAATACTGTCAAGTAATAGTTAAATTAATTGTAAATGATTAACAGAATGTACACAATGTATCAAAATTAATATTGAAGAAAATTAGTATTCTCGTAAACTATAATTTATGAAAATTATTATTCCTTGTTTTATTTTTACATTTAGACTCTAAACATCTACAATAAGTTAACATAAATCGCTAGAATGAAGCTGTGAAGCATAATTAGAGATCAAACGAACTTACCAAGTGAAGTTCGATCCTAATTATGCGAACAGCTTCATTCTAGCGATTTAGGAGAGCCCTCCCTTATTTATTTTTTAGTACTGTGTTTTTTCTATCGGTTAACACAAACCCACCCTGAAATTCGTAAAAATAAAACATAATTCTTCTATTTTCCAAGAATAGTAAAATAAATACGAATTAATCAGCAGCATTTCTATTTGTATTTCTTTCAACTAATGAAGCGAGTACCGCGGGATATGCAGGAGCGAGTGGCATCTGACAGTGTTGCCATTAAATTATTATTTTTCATCCCTTTAAATACCGTGCATGGCTGGAAGCTTGGAAGTGGAGCTACAATAAGTTAACATAAATCGCTAGAATGAAGCTGTGAAGCATAATTAGGATCGAACTTCACTTGGTAAGTTCGTTTGATCTCTAATTAATGTAAATTGGACGCAAAAGAGATTCAACCCACATAAAACTGTTTTTGAGAAATGGAGTTTTAAATTTTATTTTTGCACTCAGTAGTACTCGTATATATGTAGCCGTCAGATGATCCACTACCCTGTAGTCCCGCGGGTGTCGTAAGAGGCGACAGTGGGAAACTGCAACAGGAGATAGGCAGTAGCATCTTCCTGACATCAACTCAAAGTTATAAAAGAATGCGGTGGCAGACCCACTTGCCAAACGTGACACCTACAGCACGTAAGAGGCATCTATGGGAGAGATCTACGTTGATGAATTTTTGTTCGAATAATGACTCGAACTATCAACATGTTATTACAGTAGATTGACAATTTTTGCGTTTATTTTAGACTCGGTATCAAGTTTTAATATCATCTGAGACACTTTTGACCCGCTTCCTCCCACTTATGACATTTGAAGATTTCGAAGGTCTACGAAGCCGAGCTAGCTACAGCCTCCCACTGACCGAGTTCGCTCGCAGAATAGAAATGGGACGTTGTCTCGACGCCCGCGCCCTGCCAGTTGTTGTTCTGCATCTCGTACTGCCAGGTGGCGTTTTTGTTCTCGTCCTTCTCTGGGAAGCTCTTGGTCATCCGCTGCTGGTAGCTGTTCACCAGTGCCGTAACGGATTGCTGCGGGTTTTTCTCGTGTCCTCTTTCCGCTATCATGGACGATCTCTCCGTTACGTTGGCGGCCCTCTCGCCTCTCTCGTTGATGCTGGACATTCTCCTCTCAGGGAGATTGGGTCCCCTTTCAGGCAAAGCCGGCGCCCGGTCCGGGATGACCAAGGGGCGTTCCAGGGGGTTCGACTGGGATAATGATGGGGCTCCCCCTTCGGCTGGGTTTTGGAATTTGTTAATGATAGGTTAGTCCTAGTTTGGGTTAGAATTACATGTTAAATGTGATGTGCGATGTTGGCGACCACGTACTGGTTGACTGGTGGAGTTAGTTTTGCTAAAAGTTTACTAACAAACATTACTGATATTCTATTTAAACGCTCCAGATAAGCTAAAAATGCTTATGTTAGGAGTGGTTCACAACAGTAGTCAGATGTCGGATTTGAACCCACGACCTTTAGGCTACTGTCCTTTAACTAGATCTTTTTTTTAAAACTGTGGATTAAACAAGATTCTATAACAACGCAAGTTGCGTGAATAATTACCAAGGGAATTATTTATTTGTAACATAAACTGACACTGCGATTGTATAACTCTGATGGGACTGGGGATCACTTCACAACTGCGTTATATTTGTTAACGAACTTCAAAAAAAGGAGGAGCATCACAATTCGAGTGTGTTTTTTTTCTATAGAAAAGGGGTGACAGGCGAGCACAGTCCACCTGATGGTAAGTGGATGCTGTGACCCATAGACACTTACATTTATCCTTAAGAATTAAAATGCAGATGCGTTGTCACCCCTGAGGACTATGATGTAATGCTAGTAACATAGTCTCCGGTTCTCTACACTCACCATACGAAACACAGCAGCATTAAGTTTCTATTTTACGCTGGTATTGTGTGAGAGTGCGGTCATACCCCGGTAGAAGTCGACCCATTCGTGCTACAACCATAATATAGCTTTTATCACCGTAGCTCTTATTGTACTTGATATATCAGACTGTTGTGGACCGATTTTAAAATATTTTTTTAAGACGTCACCCCAACACTAGAATTTTCTCTTATATTGTGGAGACAGTTTACATACAAAAATTTGCAAACAAACATCCAGAGCCGGACAATTATTTGTAGGCCATACAAATACTTGTTCCATGCGGGATTCGAACACGCGGTCCTTAACGCTGCAACTCTTTGCTAAGCCACTGCGCTACGGAGCCGTCCAATGACAAAACGGGTCCAAAACGGGTTGGTCCCTTATAAACTTGAAGAAATAATTTCACTCCAAAGAGTGCGAAAATAGGGGATTCTTTAATATATGTAACTATTTGTACGACACTCGAGCTTTTAATATTCCTTAGACCACTCGAAAGGGTTAAGAAATTAAAACTTAAAAAAAATAAAAACCGATTTCAAAGAATAAAATACTTCACACATCGTGTAGTGGATGGTCGTGTAATCAATCGGTGTAAGAATAACCACTGCAACATATCGTCCCGTGGGTGTCGTAAGAGGCGACAGAGGGGAGCAAATCAGGAGATAGACGGCAGCGTCTTATTAACCCTAAGAAAACAAAATACTGACAACTATTCACTATATTTTCTAAAGAGTTACATTAAAGAATTCAGCCGCCATTTCCCCATCTTAAGCAGTGGATTTCTCTAAATTTTAATGCGACCACCCTTGAATTAAAACTTATTTAATAAAAATAATAATCAATAAAATCTGTTTACAATCGACATAGATATTGCGTAAAATTCAAAAAAAAAAAAACACTCGAATTGAGTACCTCCTTTTTTTTGAAGTCGGGCTAAAAACAAGGCCACCACGATTCCCAGTAGAGTTACACATTCGCTGGGTGTCTATCGATATATTAAGGGACTAATGGCCAAAAATTTAAACGCTACTCAATTCTAAGATACCATTAAGTCTCGTGACGTCACAGTCACTTTTACTTAAAGTGATAACAATGTCCTCCGGACCGAATTTCGGTCGAAACGAAGAACAGCCAACAGTACAAAACAGAATTATAGTGCACAAGTGTATGCGCAAGCACAGGTGCACTCTCTATTCCCTCTCTCTAATAGTCCGATGGAAATCCGACACGAGCGGAGAGAGATCCGGCATAGGACCGACGGCTTTATGTGCTTTTAAAACACCGTCAACTTCCTGATTACGGGCTGCTAAGGAGAAAATCCAGTAACTAATTTTGGCCTGCTCCGGGATTCGAACCATAGACTAACGAGACAGTTAAAATGATAGAAACTGCACGAGTCTTAGCAGCATCTTAAAATTGATTAACCTTTGAATATTTAGACATAATTGGTTTTAAATTCGGATGGAGTCTAAAACGTTCACAAAACAGTAAAAGCGATGACGTCACAAAGCTCGACGTGGTTCACAGCAGCGTGCAGCTCACAAGGCAGTCTTCTTTCTGATCCTATGTTAATGCCATAGACAATAAAAAATAAACATTTTTGAAATGCAACTGTAGATTGAAACCGACTTTAGCTTTAGCTATGACCTCTGGGTATATTTATAACGATAAAATATATCACATAGTTATTTTTACCGTGCTAAATAGGCAATTTTGTCGTTAAAGATTTTCCTCCAAATTACAAGTTATAAATGTCAGCAAAATTATTGCATTTAGTTTTTTAAAAATATGATATTAAATAGATTCTCTTCAAATTAGCACAGATAACACTAAGTGTAGGAACGTAAAGTAGATTCTATTAAATAACGTTTTGTAACAAAACGGTTATATTTAAAAGTTATCAACGACAATTGTATTTTATTAAAATTTCATATTATATCATAAATATCGTATTAAATGAGTAAATATTGTAATATATGTATAATGTATATTGTAAGTTGATCTTACCTTCTCTCTGCGAGCGAATGAACTCTGCGTAGAGATCGCGTCCGTTGGAGAAGCGCGTGCGTCCCCACGGACTGCCGCTGCGCTCCGTCGCGTTCCTGTTCAAAGCAAACACACACTTAAAACTATACAAATAAAGTTCATTTTTGATTGCATGCACAACCAATCTAGTACTAATTCCCATTAGGTGGAGTGAGTTTAGAGGTGCAAGAAGTCGATGGATGCAGGTAGGTAAGACCGTGCACTGCAAATTAGTGTTAGACTAGCTGTTCCCCGCGACTTCGCTCGCATGTAATTTAGGTTCTTAATTATTTTCTTTGCGCAGAACCCTAATTCTTTTTCTTAAATAAAAGTAGACTAAGTTACTCCTTATAACATCAGCTGTCTGCCAGTGATAGCCCCGTCAAAATTGGTCCATCCATTTCGGAAATTAACCGGAACGAAAAGACAGACAACAAAAAAAACAAGACAGACACACGCACAGACAAAAAAATAAAAACTTGTGTTATTGTTATAAGTACCGTTTATACTTACATATGCATTTAGTGAAAAGCTGTTATTTTGACATTACAAACAGACACTCCAATTTTATTTATTTGTATAGATGCCGAAACCAACGTTCGCCATTTACAAAACAAAGAACTAGTGTTCTCGTCCGCTCGTAGTCGACTAAAGGAGATACGGAGAATTGACTGTAACTTAGTGCGCAATGTATTAGTACCGTAGTGCCCGTTTAGTAGAACACATAGAAGTCTTGCTTCTAGGTGTCGGTAGAATGCAGCAGTCACTTGCCATCAGGTGGACTGTATGTTTGTTTGTCACTTCAGTTTTTTTACGTGGTAGAGCCATAAGTGGTATAGTTGTAGCACGAGTGGGTCGGCTCGACCGGGAAAGGACCACGCTCTCACAGAATACCAACGTAAAATAGCAGCTTAACGCTTCTGTGTTTCGTATGGTGAGTGCAGAGAACCGGAGACCCTTTTTACTGGAAACGAGGCATTCTATCTTAGTCCTCACGGGTGTCAACGCATCTGCATTTTGGTTCATAATCGAGGATAGATGTAGATGTCTGTGGGTCACAACAACCACATACAATGAGGTGGACGGTGTGCTCGTTTGTCGCCCTAATCCTAAAATAAAAAAAGTTTCATAAAAAAGTAATGTGAATTCCGTTTAATAATCTTTCTGGGGGCACGGTGGGGCACTACCGTGCCCCCAGAAAGATTATTAACAAAACAAAAATAGTTTCTGAATCAGCCGCATTTCCGCCAAGTCAATTTATTTAAAACATAAAAGATTTTTAACATTGATATGGTCACTATAAGATGTTGTTAGGTTAGCTAATTACGTAATAACTTAAGACAGAAGGACCCTTAAGTAGGGACTGAATAAATTAACCGACTTGGTATTACATGGATCTCACAACTTTTTACGGTAGAAAAACTGAGTTGCGAGACTTGGTTTTTTTTTACAAGTTATATTTTTGATGGCATATTATTTATCTCCATAAATAAAAATCAATTGCTGTCCGTTAGTCTCGCTAAAAATCAAAAACTACTCGACTGAAATTGATGAAATTTTTTGTGTGTGTTTGTATGGCTGTTGACGAGATCCAGAAATCACCCGTGCGAAGCCGGTGCGGTTCACTAGTCATAAAATATAAATAAAAATATATCACGTATGTTACCATAGACTAGAGATAAATATTTGTCACTTTTAACTAACTACAGAATTTTTTATACAATATAGATTACAAGAATACCTATTGAGAGACATTTATGCTTTTGCCACTGGTTCGGGGAAAACCTCTGTCCAGAGAAGTGTCAGCAAGAAAACCACCGGTACTTTTTTAAATATTAATTTTCGTTCATTAGGTAAAACTTTTTATAGTGTAAAAATGTTTTTGGAACGAAGTTCCTTATCGGACGGTACGAATTTGGCGGATGGGGGCTAGACGACATAAAGTGTAAGAGTTTTTCGTCACGACCTCTTATGACGTAGTGTAGACGGCCTTGCCGGCTATAAGGAAGCGAGATGGAATAATATTCATTTCCCTCGCACTTTTTCTTATCTTACCATGAAAGGAATATTATTACTAGCGCCTACTTAAATGACGCTTCATTTTAATAGACGGTGGTAATTCATGTATTTGTATTTGTTAATCAATAATATGATACATTTATCAATAATAATATACTACGAAAGGAACGTTCCAACCGAGTGTTCCACGACACTCACGCATGTTTTTTTTTTGTTATCCTATGGATGTCATCAGAGGCGACAGAGAAAAGTGCCAGAAAGTTTTATGGATTCAGAAACACGGCGGGTATAACCATCTAGTTTACGCCAGGCGTAAAGTACCCAGACAGGTCACGAGCGGCAGCGTCAAGGGCGCTTACGTCTGGTATTGCTGATGCAGTACAGTTTCCCAGCATGGCAGCGATGGTAAAAAGTCTCACTGACCTCGGCAGTACGTCCGCTTGTTCCTCCTGCGGGGGCTGGTGCGGTGGCAGAGATGGCAGCACGGACGATTCTATAACAACGTAATGAGTATATATGTTACAGAAGTAAAAATACTTTTTTTAAATCAATATAGATTATAAATAATACTTATTGAAAGTCACTCTTATGTTTAATTTACCACTGGTTCGAAAAATAGCTCTGTCCTGGAAAGAACCAGCAAGAAATCGAGCGGGACATGTTTTTTGAAAAAAGGGCAGTTTGCAATTTTTTTTTAGTATACGGTAAAAAACGAGCACACAGCCCACCTGATGGTAAGTGGTTGCTGTGGCCCATAGACATCTACATTTATCCTCGTCTGCGATTCAAAATGCAGATGCGTTGTCACCCGTGAGGACTAAGATAAAATGTCTCTTTTCCAGTAAAAAGGGTCTCCGGTTCTCTACACTCACCATACGAAACACAGCAGTGTTAAGCTGCTATTTTACGCTGGTATTCTGTGAGAGCGTGGTCCTTCCCCGGTCAAGCCGACCCATTCGTGCTACAACTATACTACTAATATAGCTGCAGCATGGCTCTACCACGTACTAAATTTTATATTACATGATACAATTAAGTACAAAGAACAAATTAGAAATAGCTTGGTAGCGATCACCTGATCCCCTAGGGCTATCATTATCTCAATATATAAACAATCAATTGCTGTCTGTTAGTCTCGCTAAAACTCGACACTGGCTCGACCGATTCTTATGAATTTTTTTTTTTGTATTTCAGTTGATCTCTGGATGGTTTAGATTCATTTCGGACCCGGTAGATGGCGCTATTTTCGAGATTCCCCAGGTACCCGTGCGAAGCCGGGGCGGACCGCTAGAACAATATAGATTACAAGTAATTCTTATTAAAAGTAATTTTTCGGAAAAACCCTCTGTCTGTATTCGAACTTGGCTGCAGGTCTTTTGTCGCTTAGGTTTAAAAAAAAAAACAAAAGTGGATTGAGTACAAAGGCGGCGTACCTATGTTCCTATCTGGCGTGGCGGAAGCCCGCTGCGAGTCCCGGTGCTCCTGCAGGATCTCCGCCTGCGAGCGGGACGCGCGCTGCGTCTCGGGAGACGACGCGGCCGAAGAGGACGACGACGCGTTCCTGCAAAACCATGTTATATAATATAACACCCTTCAGACCTAAATTCGGTCACAACGTAGATGCTGTGGTTCATAGACATTATATTAATCTTCGATTAGAAATCAAAGTGCAGCTGCGTTGTCACACCTGGGGCCTAAGACGAAAATTAAATATTAATAGAAATGATGAAACAAGTATTCCGATGCTGATATATATCTTATAAGTAGCGGCACGAAAATCCAGCGGTAACCGTTATCGCGCATAAGTCGCGTTGTTTGGCTCGTGCGTATCGTCCACACGCGCTGATTGGCTCTCCGGTCGCATTCGTGAAATACAATTCGTGCGCGTCCCCTCCACGTTTCGTTCAGCGCTAGACTTACGTGCCGCGACTTGTAAAACATTTCATCCGCTTTAGTGTCTTGAGAACTTGGCATACTGTCGTCATCGACTGTTTGCTAAAGCTGCTCTCAAAACCTCTCAAAAACATCGTAATGTGACACGTTGATATATTGTATATTGTTTCAGCATAAAAATCTGCGGTTGCCAAGCCGCTTGCCAAGCATGGCAACCATAGCAAATATTTGTCGTATGAGGTAATTTATGGGAAGGCTTAGATAGAAGACCTTGTAACCAATGCTACGCGTGGTTCTAGTAAAACTTATTCATTAATTTTGATTGTTATTTTAGATATTTTTTATTTTACTTAGCTTATTGATCGAAACTTAATTAGTATTCAATTATAAAAAAATAGAAATAAAAGGGAATGCCCACCGTTTTTTTTTTTAAATGTTATTTGCATTGAATGTAGGTAATAACAATAAGGTGTTGACAGAGTACATAGAAGATCCGTACATTCTACCATTTTGGCATGCAAATATTAAATTAAATTTATTTCTATATAATACTAGTAATTAATTATAAACAGATTTAAAATTATAATTATGAGTATAAATAGTTATTACATTATTATAATTCAAAGTATTGCATTATTATTATTACATAAATTTATATTGTTGAAATTTTATTGCAGTTAGCATAACACATAAATTATTAATACAAACAACATATTATAAACAATTAATTAACTGAAACGTTATTTAAATATTGGTATCATTTAAGAAGTCCGACACTGAGTAATAGCATCTTTCCAATAACAAAGAAGTAAGACTCTTTTTAAATATTCTAATGGGGTGATTTTTTACAAAATTTGGGATTTTGTTATATATGACAGGTGCCATGCTCATAACACTTTTTTTTTAATAAAGCTACTTATACTTATCTTCACGCACAATCCCTGACGGGGTAGCCAGAGAGAACAGATCGCCAAGTGTCACGATCCTTACATACCTCTTTCGCTTCTTTCAGATTCATTATCTTCTTCATACATGCACGTCTAGGTATCCGAGTACTCTTGACCCTACCCTCTTCGAGCAATTTGCTCACATGGTCTTCGAAAGTTAGTCTCGGTCTACCTCGACACCTTTTAATATTAACTTTCGCGCTATATATTTTCTTCACCATTCGGTCTTCACTCATTCGCTCAACGTGCCCAAACCACCGAAGCACGCCCTTATCAATTTTCGTGATAAGGTCATCTTTCAAACCTGCCATATTGCGAATCTCTTCGTTTCGCTTTCGGTCGGCCATGGTAACGCCGCACATTTTACGAAGAGATCGCATCTCCACTGCATTCAACTTGCTTTTATGCTTCTTCTGGCATACCCAGGTTTCGCTGTCATATAACAAAGTCGGTACCAACACTGCGTTATGTATTGCAAGGCGTGCACTCTTCACCACGCCTTGCCTTTTGACTAACGCAGTCAGGGCACCATTGACTTTGTTCCCGGCAGCGACACGCCTGTCCACATCTAAATCACATCTTCCATCCCGGCTAAAAGCACTCCCCAAGTATACAATTTCATTTACTTGTTCTAGACATTCCTGATTTACCCATATTTCACACTTCGTTCTCTCTTCGTCCCTTTCAAATACCAGAACCTTAGTTTTATTACCGTTCAAACGGAGACCTTTAATTTCACATTCCTCTTTCATACACGTGACTAATGCCTGCAGTTCTGCCTCTGATGGTGCAATAAGCACTGCATCATCAGCATACAGCAGACAATTTACTTTAATGTCACCCAATTTCACACCCAAACAGCTATCTTTCAGCTTTTGTAAACAGCTGTCGAGATACAGTATGAACAGCCAGGAAGACATGACACAACCCTGTTTTACGCCCGTTTGGACGCTAAACATGGGTGACAGGTCATGCCCTACCCGCACACAGGCTTTACAGTCACAGTAAAGAGACTGCACAGCCCTTAGCAATCGACCATCCACACCATACCCCGGCAACAGTTCCCACATTTTCTTCCTTACAACCTTATCAAATGCTTTCTCAAGATCCACAAAAGCACAGAAAATCCTCTGGTTAGCAGCCAGAAGCTTTTCCGTGATCATGCGGAGAGAAAACATTTGATCCGTGCATCCTCTTCCAGGTCTAAATCCGCATTGTGCCTCCCATAGAAATCTTTCCGATTTCTCTTGCATCCTACGTGTCAAAACCTTCGAGTAAACTTTACTTGCTAAACTGGTCAAGCTGATCGCCCGATAGCACCCGCAGTCAAAATGTGAACCTTTACCTTTATATAAAGGCACAATGACTGCGGATCGCCAATCATCCGGGACATCCCCCGTCCGCCAGCACAAATTGCACAGCAGATGAAAGCTGTCCCAGACGCAAGGCCCACCATACTTGACCATTTCAGCAGTAACTCTGTCTAGTCCCGCAGCCTTACCACATTTCAAATTTCGAATCGCACGTTCAATCTCTTTCATACTGATGACCTCAGTGTCATCGAGGTCCGGGTCTGGCGTACCAGTCACGGCGTCATCCCCGGATCCCTCACTAAGATGATCACACGCATACATTTCTCTATAAAATTCGCTCCATCGCTGCAACGTCCGATTTTTCTGAGAGGACGTCATTAGTTCTCGAAAGCACTTTGTTCATTCTTAAGGCCGTCGCACCACTTCGGGTCCTTCCAACCTCTTTCCAGAAGAGTTTGGAGTTCTCCTTAAAGTTGTGCGACAACCTTTCGTCCGCTTCCATTCTACACCTTTCACGCACTTCCTCAATCAATGCTTTCGTGTTAACTTTCTGCAGCCTATATCTTTCTTTCATCTTCTCTCTCATATCCTTATCATTACTAGAGGCCAAGTAGTCTAACCATGCTTTCTTCTTCTTCTTTACAGCTTCTTTCACTTCATCATTCCACCATGCATCTCTTCTTTTACTACTGCCTCTTTTTATTGTTCCACACACTTCTTCCGCTGCACTTACCATTTAATAAAGCTGTTTGAAATCTTCCTGTATACAGTAAATATTTATGGCTTTGAAAATAGGGACATAACTATCTGTTATCTTTAAATTGAAGATTGCTCTTATGCAGCGCTTTTGGGCTTTGAAAATGCTTTCTCTATCGCCACAGTTGCCCCATAGACACTTCGGCCATGGGTTATAATATGCAATTAAAAGAAAGAAATAGTTAAGGAATTGGTTTGACAAAAGTCCGGATTTTTAAGATGTAAAGGTTTTTTATTTTCACAAGAACAGTTTTTTAACAACAAATGACTTCATATTTTCGTGACATTTAAATCACAATTGACACAGCGTAAATGTTCTCTTGAATGAGTTACTGAGAGCTGGGAAGAATTTGGCCGGTGTGAAAGCTGGGGTCATCGTTAACAGTGGATATCGAGTCCAAGTTCGTGCAGAGGTTATCGTAAGAAGTGGGAGCGGGATCCATTTTCAGGCCGTGGTCAATAGGGTGAGAAGAATTATCAGAGTCCATTTAGAAAGCTTATTCGTTGCTTAGATAACAAATCCGCGAGAAAACAAACAACATAACCCAAATGCAAAGGAATTCGACTTGTGACTATTTAGTTTTGATAATTAGCACATGGGCCTAGCTGTCAGATTCGATGTTACCAATTAACAGACATAAAATCGCTAAATAGATAGCGATTAATTTATTCAATTTATAATTTCATAAAAAAGAATACTCTTTGATTCGCTTTAAGTTCTACACGCCTTTTAAAATATGTTTTGTTTTATTTATTAAAATTCCATTTAAATGTATTTTTAAGAACAGATTAGAATAACAGTTAAATTGAGTAGTAGCGTTTTTGTTATGTTCTAAAGAGTTTATGGTAAATCAACTAGCAATTCGCTTGTCTAATTATCATAACATCGTAATAATTATCGCAAAATAATATTACCATTATAATAATGACACCATAAAAAATCGATTGAAAAACAGAATCAAGATTTGTAATTAGCAACACTTTTATACATAAATACCGCGATTAATTACCATAAAAAAAAAGATGTATTTTTTAACAAATGCAAATTGTTGGGCGTTTCATGGCCAGAATTGGGCATTCTCCTTTAAGTACTGTGTATGATGTCTGAAATTATGTATATGTGTATTATAACAGGACATATTGTGCTCACGCAATAAGTCAATCGTTGGCTTTTTAAGGTGAAATAGGCGCCAAAAGCAGATTTTTCACGCTTTATGGGTGCGCAGAAAATCAATTTTTGTCATTCAAAACTACGAATTCACCTTTTTTTAAATCATTATGACAGTACAAAAAATTTTTGTTAGTAAATTATGATGGTCTAAAATAACATATTTTGGCTCCATACAAAAAAATTGTAGTTTCCTCAAAATCTACAATTTTAGGTACGTTTATTAAGGGGAAAAACAGTTTTATTTGAATGTAATTAAAGCAATTTCAATTTAAATTTTGTCTAAGTGTTCATCAGTAAATACATGGGGGAATTATGGGTTTATTTTTTAATAAAAGAGTATATTTCATTTTAAAAAGAAATATCAAATAAATATCGAGGAATAAAATTGCGCGCGTGCCGGTTAAACAGGAGCAAATCGCCGCTTCTCGCTACTGAACACGATATTATTTCGCCTTAAATGCGAAAACTGTATAAATGGATAGTAATTTTAATCGAATATTACTTTTCTCCGAACAAATATCGATAATGAGATATTATAGTATACCAAAGAATTAAAACTTTGAAGTTCATACACTATAGATAATTAGGTGGATTTTATTAGTTATTTAACGTGAGTTTTATATTTTTGTTGAAAGTTAAATTTCGTAAAATATATTACAGCGTTCGATGCATTATTTTTGGTAGAAAACCTTGTAGTCAATGTCACAAAAACCAAAAAAAAAATATATTAAAAAGCAAGCAACTGACTGGTGCAGTTTGTAGCACAGTTCGTCAATAGAGCAGGTCTCGCTTAGGGATGTGAAAAAATAATCGATTTTTATATTAATCGATTATTTTTTTCTTATAATCGAATTTTAAAAGTAGATTTTTTTTTATAATAAAAATCGATTTTTAATAAATCGATTATGTAAGTTACGCGTTTTAATCGATTTTTGTAATCAGAGTCATGTGTGCGATGGATGTAAAAACGTGAAGTAAGTTCAATAACATGAATAAGTCCATCAAAAGAACAGCGTCACAGCGTATAAACAATAAAAATGTCTTGTAAAACGTCTAAAAGTGACTGACGGAAGTATTTTATAATGAAAAAATGATAGAGGCCAACACCTCAATAGGCAAAAATACTGAATTGGATCTATATATTGCGGCACCACTATCAAATCTCAAGGCAGATGCCCTCAATATATGGAGAAGCTCTGAAGGAACTTTCCCTGAACTAACCGAATTGGCTCTTAAACACCTCTCTGTGATGGCCAATTCCGCGCCAGCCGAAAGATTATTTTTGAAAGCGAGAAATATAGTCAGGAAAAAACGAAACCGTATTTTGGGAAAGAGACGAAGAAGAATTTTGGTGAAATGATTGTTTTTAAACTCTTTAACTTAAAATTCATGGCAATAATTTTTTATCACTTTTTTATTTACACTAGTTTAAAAAAAGGTTTGTCTTGTATTTTAGTTTTGAGACCAAAAGGTTGTCGTTTGATTATTTATAATTATATTTTTATTTTATTTTCATTCTACTTCAATGTAAATGATACTGAACATTAATGGTAATAATTATTTACAGTTTTTTTGTTTAAAATTAAAGTTTAAAAAAAGATTTATTATAGTTTTGAGACCAAAATGTTGTCGTTTGACTATTTAAACTTATAGTTTTATTTTATTTTCATTTTAATCCAATTTAAATGGTACTGAACATTTGTGGCATAATGATATTTAGACTTTGTTTGTTCAAACTTAGTTTAAAAAAACTATCGTTTACTAAACTTATCGTTTCTTAATGATTTCTTATATTTACGCGAAGACTACACATTAAATGAAACTAATTTTTACGGATTTTATCGCGATTAATTTAACTTTTTAATTCCCGACGTTTTGGGTGCTTCACAGCACCCATGGTAACGGGGGGGGGGGGGGGGGGGGGCTGAGATGTTTGACGTCCCGATGTCATAGTTAGCCTAGCTACCTTCAGTTTTTGAATATTAATTTTTGGTTCTATCTACGCAGAATGAGCTTACAGTATCTTGAAGTCTTACAGTGGTATGCTTGGGTTTGGATTTCATTTTATTAATTATAGGATGCCAAGCAGACGCCAGCACCCATGCATCTTCTCTATTGAAATTAGGATGTTTTTTAATTTCAATAGCCTCGCGAATCATCCTTGGTAAGAATCGGAGTTCTTTTGCGAAGATTTGTGGTTCAACTGTGACATAGGGACGTCAAACACCTCAGTCCCCCCTGTGACCATGCGTGCTGTAAAGCACCCGAAACGTGGGGAATTAAAAAGTCAATTAAACGCGATAAAATCCGTAAAAATTAGTTTCATTTATCGTTGCTTTTTATTTTGGTTCTAATAAATTGTTAAATGACAATGAACATTTGTGGCAGTAATTATTTTTAAGTTTTTTATTGTTTAAAGTTATAGGTTAAAAAAATGTTCTGTAGTTTAGTTCTAAAACCAGAAGATTGTCCTTTTGATTATGTTTTTTTTATATAGGATAAGGGTGACAAACGAGCATACAGTCCACCCGATGGTAAGTGGTTGCTGCGGCCCATAGACATCTATATCTATCTGCAATTACGAATCAAAATGCAGATGCGTTGTCACCCGTGAGGACTAAGATGGAGTGCCTCGTTTCCAGTAAAAAGGGTCTCCGGTTCTCTACTCTACACTCTACTACTACTACTCACCATTCGAAACACAGCAGCGTTAAGCTGCTATTTCACGCTGGTATTCTGTAAGAGCGTGGTCCTTCCGTGGTCGAGCCGACCCATTCGTGCTACAACCATAATGTAGCTGCAGCATGGCTCTACCACGTGAGTTTTATACTTATCATTTTATTTGATTTTTATTCTGATAAATTGTTGATACTATACTCTCGTAGTTTTATTAATATATAGGAAAGCAGGCATTTTTTCGAATAAAATAATTTTTTCGCAAAAATCGATTTTTTTTTAAATAAAAATCGATTTTTCCTAAATCGATTATTATCACAAAGCACAAAATCGATTTTTTAATAATCGATTTTTTTCACTCAAGTCACATCCGTAGTCTCGCTGTTGGGAGTGGCGGAGTATGCCAGCAGCTTTTTTAGGTTTTTTTAAGTCGACTTTTACTATTTATTAAAAGTTTAATTGTCTTGAGCGTACAATAATGTGTGATGTATTTATTCTGGCAGAAAGCCTTGTAGCCTGCGGCACAGTAGCCACAAAAGAGAGAGTGAGCAACTGACTGGTGCAGCCTGCGGCGCAGCTCGTCGGTGGAGCAGGCGGCGGCCCCGGCCTCGGCGTCGGCGTAGGGCGTGAGCTGCAGCTCGGGCGGCAGCTGCGCGTGGAAGGCCAGCTTGGCCACCCAGTCGTGCAGCAGGCGCGCCGAACCGCACGCGAACAGGAACTCGGCGCCGTCGCCGCACGCCAGCCGGAACACGTGCGCGCGCTTCGTGTAGTCGTCCGCCACCGTGCACCGCGCCTGCACACAACACACCACATACGTACCTTAGACGCCCATTACACGCCTAGGCAAGCGTCAATCAGTTCGATCAATCATGACTGAGGTTTGAATGATAAAATAATTTGGACATTACACGCTCATGCTGACTGATCGTCAGTCAAACCCAAATTTTTTACCTATAAACTAAGTTCATTTTCGATTCACCATTTAATTATAATTTTATATCTTAAAAAGAAAAAGAAAAAAAACAAATAGGAAAAATTGTAATATTTAATATCATTTTACCCATTTTAATTTAACGCGCGCAAATGTTACACCTCTTGGAGTGCATAATCGATACGCGGCTTTATTTGAAACGCATTTGTGGACGAAAAATAAGCTTAACTTTTACAATTAATTGGTATAGGGTGGATGCCCCTATTACCATACCAGCCTTTTAGTGCCAATTTCAATTTCCTTTTGTGTATCTAATGCCAGCATAGCATAGAACTATGCCTTTTGAGTTTTGGTAGGTACCTATTGTAGGTAAATTTTAGGGGCACTGAAATAAATTCATAACAACTTTTAATTTTAAATCATGCATGTCACAAGTATGGAATATGTATTAAGATAGACGACAACAATTATTTTATTTTAATGTTTTACTTCTTACCTTACTGTGGTTTAGCTTTAAGCAGTTACATTTTATCTATTAACACTAAACAATTAATTAAAATAATATTATAATAAAAATTATGTATAGCACACCGATTTCTTATAATTTAATCATCCAAGTTTTTGAATCTTTATCATCATTTCAGCCCTTCACAAGTCGACTACAGAACATCATCCTCCATAGACTGCCGCAAAGCATGGTCCTGAACCACTTTCCTTTTTATGACTTTTTCATTTATGTTCTTAAGTTTTTATATAGGATAGAGTGACAAACGAGCACACAGTCCACCTGATGGTAAGTGGCTACTATGACCCCTAGACATCTACATCTATAACTCCATATAGACTCAAGATGCAGACGCGTTGTCACCCGTGAGGACTGAGATGGAATGCCTCTTTGCCAGTAAAAAGGGTCTCCGGTTCTCTACACTCACCATACGAAACACAGCAGCGTTAAGCTGCTATTCTACGTTGGCTTTCTGTGTGAGTTCAAATTAATGGTATTTATTCTAGTTTATGACAGCCCTGATTTATATTACGTGGTTGAAATAAGGTACTTCTTATTATTTACGTCAAACCAAATAAAATTCGGGCGACTGACATTATGCACTCTATAAATTTCGTATATCTAATTACAGCCCCATTAAGTTCCACTAAAAGAAAATAAAAAACTTATAAATTTAAACAAAAATAGCTGCATTACTATATCTATAGTCACATTCATACAAATCAAAAAGCCTAAAGATGAGCTAATGTAAAATATGCTTATGTTTTGATTTTTAATTTAACACTGTTAGGTTTAAAACTGTGAGGTAATATTTGAAATATACTTTCCTCTAATTATGAAGAATTTTTAGCCGACCATATTTGTAGTTAAGACTACTAGAAATCTTATTTACGAAGTAAAAAGGCGGAAAGGCTGGAATTAGACGCGTGGCTGGTATTAGGGGCATCCAACCTACCCGGGGTTTTTCGTGTCCCACAACTCGGGGAGAGACTGAAAATTTAAAATAAAATCTTTTTCTGGCTGAAACACATTTGGTGGGAGTGGCGACGGGCTGCGCGAGCGCGTAAAAGCAGCCTCTTCAATATATTCTGCGTCCGCCTCCAATGCTATCTAAGCGTTGACTGACGCGTGATTGACGAAATGCCATTACACGCTCAATCAAAATTCGTGACTGATAGTTGATTGACGTAAAAATCAAAATATCCAGATATTTGTCAATCAATTTCATGCAAACGTCAATCACCGCATTACACGGTAGGTTATTCGTCAATCACAACCGTGATTGTTATAAAACTGACAGCAAAACCTACCGTGTAATGGGCGTCTTACAACCAATTCTATAACAACTGGTCAAACCTTCATCACATTTATATGGGACCACATGAGAAGCACCAGCTTTCAAAAAAAAGAATAATCGAAATCGGTTCACCTAGAAAAAGTTATGAATTAACACACATAAAAAACATATGCCGTGTAATGGCGGTCAAGAATATCCACTACCCCATATCCTCCCGTGGGTGTCGTAAAGGGCGACAAAAGGAAAGAGGCAGGAGATGGGCAGCAGCATCTTCCTGATAATAGCCAAAATTACAATAAAAAAACTGCGGTTGCCAACCCGCTTACCAAGCGTGGCAACTATGGCAAACACCCCCCAATGATTAAAGCAACAAACAGACGGCCCCCAGTCCCCGGCGGCCCCGCTATTCCTGGCTACGGTGGCGACCATGGTAACGGCGGGGCAGGGGGTGCAAAGAATCTCCGGTGGAGGTTCGGTTGCCACCTTAGACGACTCGACTTGGCAACGTACAACGCACGCACCCTGAGGACTGACGAGAAGATCGTGGAGCTGGAAGAAGAGATAGACAAGTTGCGCTGGCATATTATAGGATTATCCGAAGTCCGAAGAGAGGGGGAGGACTAATAATAAAAATAATCCTCGAATCCGGCAACTTGCTCTATCACTGGGAGCGCGACCATCTGTCCCAAGGAGGTGTCGGATTTATCGTCCACAAGTCTCTCGTTAACAACGTTGTAAAGATCGGGAGTGTGTCGACGAGGGTTGCGTACCTTATACTCAGAATCACCAAACGGTATTCGCTGAAGGTCATACAGGTTTACGCACCAACCTCGGCACACCCCGATGAGGAGGTGGAGGAAATGTATGAGGATATCTCTGGAGCCATGCATTCCTCCAAAACCCAATATACGATGTTAATGGGAGATTTCAATGCAAAACTAAGCACAAGAGAAAACGGTGAGCTGAAAGTAGGGAAATTTGGAATAGGGCAACGGAACCCAAGGGGCCAGCAGCTGGCCGACTTCATGGAGAAAGAGGGACTATTTATGATGAACTCTTTCTTCCAGAAGCGGCCCCACAGGAAGTGGACCTGGTCGAGCCCCGACAAAAAATGAGATTGACTTCATTATGACGACCAGACGACAACTGTTCAGTGATGTCTCAGTGATCGCGAGGGTGAAAACCGGCAGCGATCACCGAATGGTTAGAGGCACACTGAACCTAAACGTTAAGTTGGAGAGGTCTCGTCTAATGAAGTCAACGCTCCGTCCCCCTCGTGCTCTGTTCCAAAGTCCCGAAACCTTTCAGCTCGAGTTACAAAACCGTTTTCAGTGCCTAGAAGACTGAAATGAAGTGGACGATATGAATGACAAGCTCGTGGAAACTGTTCATGCGGTCGGAGCTAAGTTCTGCAAGACCCGCCGCAGAAGAACACAAAAACTCTCCGATCACACTCTTAATCTCATGGCTGTTAGACGGGAGATGAAGCTACATTCTTCAACAGACTTGACAGCATACAGGCATCTGAACAGACAGATCTCCAAATGCATGCGGCGGGACTTACGCAACTTCAATACAGCTCGTATTGAAGAAGCGATCGAGCGGAACCAAGGCTCCAAAGTCTTTGCCAGAGATCTGTCTGCCAGAAAGAGCCAACTGTCAAAGCTGAAGACAGAATGTGGCAGCATCGTTGCCGGGACTCCTGAGATTTTGAGTGAGATTGAGAGGTTCTATGGGCAGCTGTACACGTCATCGTTGGAGCCACACGCAAGTGTGAGTAACGATCCAAGAGCGAGTCTCATCCGACACTATTCCGATGATATCCCGGACGTCAGTCTGAGCGAGATTAGAATGGCTCTCCAGCACCTTAAAAACGGTAAGGCCCCAGGCGAGGATAAAATTACAGCGGAGCTTCTGAAAGCAGGTGGAAGACCGGTACTTGAAGTCCTTCAGAAGCTCTTTAATTCCGTCCTCCATGGTGGCATTACACCGGAGGCGTGGAGCAGAAGTGCGGTGGTCTTGTTCTTCAAGAAAGGTGACAACGCTCTCTTGAAGAACTACAGACCGATTTCCCTTCTGAGCTGCGTCTACGTGCTGTTTTTGAGAGTCATTACGAATCGTCTCGCGCGCAGACTTGACGACTTCCAGCCTCCCGAACAAGCCGGTTTCCGAAAGGGCTTTAGCACCATAGACTACATACATACCCTTCGGCAAATTGTACAGAAGTCCGAAGAGTACAATTTGCCACTATGTCTGGCGTATGTGGACTATGAGAAAGCCTTTGATTCCGTCGAAATTTGGGCGGTGCTGCAGTCCCTTCAGCGATACCAAGTTGACTGTCGGTATATCGAAGTGTTGAAGTGTTTGTACAGTAGAGTTACGATGGCTATCCGAGTACAGAACCAGAGTACGAAACCTATCCAATTGCAGAGAGGTGTAAGACAGGGTGACGTCATATCCCCGAAACTCTTCACCGCTGCATTGGAAGATGTTTTCAAGCTTCTGGACTGGAAAGGATACGGTATCAACATCAATGGCGAGTACATCACTCACCTTCGATTTGCCGACGATATAGTCCTTATGGCAGAATCGCTGGAGGACCTAAGCACTATGCTCAATGACCTCAATAGTGTCTCCCAACGGATAGGTCTTAAGATGAACATGGACAAAACAAAGATTATGTTTAATGTCCATGTCACACCTATGCCGGTAGTTGTTGGGAGCACTAAGCTCGAAGTTGTTGACGAGTATGTTTACCTGGGACAAATTGTCAGACTAGTAAGTCCAACTTCGACCGAGAGGTCAATCGACGGATTCAACTCGGCTGGGCAGCATTCGGAAAGCTACGACACATTTTCTCGTCAGACATACCTCAAAACCTTAAAACGAAATTGTACAACCAGTGCGTGTTGCCAGTGATGACATACGGAACTGAGACGTGGTCCTTCACAGCTGGCCGTATGAGGAAGCTCAAGGTCGCTCAGCGAGCTATGGAGAGGGCTATGCTCGGAGTTTCTCTGCGTGATAAACTTAGAAATGAGGATATCCGCAGTAGAACTAGAGTAACAGACAGCCCAACGGATTAGTAAGCTGAAGTGGCAGTGGGCCGGCCATATAGCTCGAAGAACCGATGGGGAAGACAGGTTCTCGAGTGGTAGCCTCGTACCGGTAGGCGAAGTGTAGGGCGACGCCCCACGAGATGGAGTGACGACCTGGTAAGGCATGCAGGAAGTCGATGGATGCAGGTGGCTCAGGACCGTGCTTTGTGGCATTCCTTAGGGGAGGCATATGTTCAGCAGTGGACTTATGAAAGGCTGTAATGATGATGATGATGATGAAAAACATACAATCGAATTGAGTACCTGCTCCTTTTTGAAGTCGATTAAAAATAAATTTAACTATAAAAGTGAATAAACATAGACGGTTGAGTAGGGGGAATTGACCAAAATTTTCTTTCTTTTAAAATCAGCTACCACCAAAAATTTTTCCGCATCGATACAATTTAGAGACATTCAAAAAAACAGCCTTTTTTTTCTCGTGAGATACGGATGCCTCCGACAGTGGGAGCATTAAGACAAACAGAAAGATCATTATGAACTCCTACCGGCTAAAGGCCAATGGTGGTCACCATCAACGTATATGAGGGGTCACGGGATCTCCGTACAGAACCCAACCAGAGCCTTTCTCTTGCTTTACTTTATTGAAAGCACGTCCCGAAGCCAGTGCTTACTGCCCCCAGCACCTATGCAGCGCTATCAAGGTGTCTCGGGGCCATTACCGAATTGCCCTCCTCTTCAGGGAGCAATAAAAAAGCCTTCCCACTATTTAAAAGCCGGCAACGCGTCCCAAATTCTCCTGAAGTTGTGGATGGTTACCGGGGCATATTATATTCCTTTACCCCTGTTGTATATAAATACGTGTACGTAACGAAACGACTTCAAAACTGGGGCGCTACCACCACCCCCTCCCCTCCACCTACCCGGTCCCTCTACGTCGTGTCTGTTATACTCCTCACACAACGACACTAATTCTTTGATCCTTCAGCTATCAAGTGGTGTAGTTAAATTTTGTATGTAGCTGCAACAGCAAACTGTATACCCCGATTTTGTTATCATTAGTTTTCTAAGTGCCTCCCGCTATGGAAGCTAATTCAAAAACATGAAATTAATTTTTACGGATTTTATCGCGTATATTAAGTTATTTTATATACCAGACATTTCGAATACTTTACTGTACCCATGATCACAGGAAAGCTAATGTGTTCGACGACCCAATGAAATAGTTAATCACGTTTATCTTTAAAATATTTTTTGCTTTTGCTGTGGCCTATAGATTTCTATATGTATCTTCGATTAAGAATCAAAACGCAGATGCGTTGTCACCCGTGAACATCAAGATGGTATGTTTTGTTTCCAGTAAAAAGGATCTCCAGTTCTCTACACTCACCATACCACTCACAGTAGCATTAAGCTGCTATTTTACGCTGGTATGGTCTGAGAGCATGGTCCTTCGAGCCGACCCATTCATGCTACAACCATGATATAGCTGCAGCGTGACTCTCCCACCACCTGCTCGTTTGTTGTCCCTTACCCCTGTGAAAAAACACAATATGGGTGGTGCTTACGTTGAGGATGGCGACTGGTGGTGCTGCCGCCTTGGAGCTGCCGAAGTCCTGCTGGTCACGGAAGAAGCACAGCAGCTGGCCGCACAGCACCGCGTAGTACGTGCGCCAAGATCGCACAGTGGCCCGCTTGCCACCGCACCCAGCCTCCTGCTTCCTCTTCAGGTAACCTAAACATACACACTGATTCACATCTACATCTCACACGCCCCACAACACAACCTACCCTCCATTAACAATACAATAATTTTATTGCAAGCATTAAATACTTATTAGTAAGTTTGATCCAATTTGGGGAAACTTTGTTCTTAGTCGCGGCCCTGTATCGGCGATACACTACCCCCAGAGGGCGAGAAATCGGGAGTGAGGAATGTCTCATTACAATTTGCAGGAACCTGGAGTACGTAGGATTGGAAGTTCGTTGATCTATTAGACTCCAGACGCTGCAAATGTCAAGAGATCGGATCCTCTATGTAACATCGGCTTCGTTCTTCCACGAAACGCAAGACCGTCTTTTACCGACGTACTTTTGTCCAAACGGGAGATGTACAGCTGTATATACTTGACATGTATCCTAAACATACCCACTGCCTCACATCTACATTACACACACATGTAGGATGCCCTAGCTTTACTTCGTTAAAGCCAATGGGACCAATCTCATACCGTCGGGTCTCCTGCCATCATCTCTAAATATTCCAAAAGGCTCTAAAACCGAGGGAACATTTATAGAGACAATCAAAAGCCCTTCGGTTGACATCGTTCAAAGAACCGTGCCGTCACTCGAGAACTTTTTTTCCCCAACGGCTGTCCGTTCTTCGAGCTATATGGCCGGCCCATTGCCACTTCAGCTTACTAATTCGTTGGGCTACGTCGGTTACTCTGGTTTTTGAGTTTTACTGCGGATATCCACGTGTTTAAGTCTATCGCGCAGAGAAACCCCGAGTTTATGTTTATAAAAATGTTATTGATAGTTATAGATTTCAATTTACGTAAATACAAATAAGTTGTTATTTAGAAAGGAACTGTGTGACCCATAACAGTACACACCTTCGATCTCTACGGGCGGCAAGGGGTCCATGTCATTCCTGTGTCTGCGGAAGCTCTGCGTGCGTCGTCGGGTCGTGAACGATGGCCTTCGCTTCGGAGTCTTCGCCACCTGGGAGAGGACATCAAATGTTAGCATTAAATAAATAAAACACTACACACTTGCAGCTACAAAGCAATGTACAGACGTGAAAAATACGGATGACCTTTGATGAACGAAGTAGAAGCTGACAGTTACAATTGGATTTTATGGGTTTTAGTTTTTTTTTGCGTGATACAAAAAGAGCTCATGATATTCATACGGCTGAAAATATTGAATCATAGCTCATAAAGACACTCTCGATCAAGTCACCTTTCAAACAAAAAAAAAAAACTATTTTTTTCATCCGTTTGGGAGCTACGATGCCACAGACAGACACAGATACATACGAATACAAATACATATGTGTAACGGCGGCTCTTCACGTTGGCCAACACACTGGCCAATGTGTTGGCCAACAACGATGGCCATCTTGTAGAGCGGGTGTTGGTACGTATTGGAACGATGGCCCACAAGTTGGCGCGAGATCCGTCTGGTATCGGTTTTTTACAAAAGATCAAAGGGTTGTGACAGAGTATTGGCCGCCGCGTCCACACGTTGGCCGCACGTTCAGTTTGCTACGAGCTCCCAGAGTAAATGCACGCACCTGATTTAAATTTTATATGCACGCAATAGTGTCTATATAATGGCAGTAACAATGACCAATGAAAAAACTTTTCGCTTTATAGAGCCCTACCAAGCCGAAAATTGTTTGTAAAACACAAGTCTTTTGAAATTATATACAAAATCCTAGTGTATAATAATATAAAAAAAATATTATTATACACTAGGATTTTCTAAATGCAGGCAGTTTAGAAACATAAATTGCATAAGGACAAACATTCAGACCCGGAGAAATTATGTGCAGGTTATACAAATACTTGTTCCGTGCGGGATTCGAACCCGCGGCCCCCAGGGCAGCAACTCATTGCTAAGCCACTACGCCACGGAGCCGTCAAGATATAAAATTTATTTTTTCCATTTCTTTTTGATCACCCTTATCTTATACACATTCACGTTGTAGTGATTGATGTATTAATTTATTTATTGATGTATTAATTGATTTATTAAATATCTTAAAATCTATAATATATAATATATATATTAAAATCAAAGTAAAAAGTAGGATACTAAAATCATGTTTTTACTGTCTTTATTATTCCCTATTAGTTACTTTATTTCGTTAATAATACTGTAATTTTTAGCTATGGAAGAGCGAAGTCACCTGTTACAGGCATTATTTTGCTTACTAGGTGACCTCGATCACTGATCATATTATGTAACTTTAATGTTTGACGAAATAAATTATTTATTATCATTATTAAGTTCGCCATATGTACTACTTTGTGCATGAAAGTGTAAATAAATAAATCTATTCTATAATTATATAATAACCCTTTTTAAAAAGGTTTTGTTCAATAAAAATTTTACAACAGTTTCATAGACAGGCTTCGAATATTTTCCAGGCCTTAGTTAATTATACCTATGCGTAGGTGTGTTAATGTTTATATAGTTTACTTATCTGTATAACGTTAGTGTATAATAAAGAAATATTAAAAATTTATATTAAAAATATTAAATATTAAAAATAGTGAAAATTAAATTAAAAAATAGTGGTATGCTGTGAATAAATAAACCGCAGCAGCCGTTAGCGCATCAATAATCATTTTAATAAATTCGTCCGCACATTGGCCTGAATCGAAGCAAACTGAACGACCTTCCAACGTGTGGACGCGATCACAATTTCTTGGCCAATAACTCTGCCAACACATTCGCCACTGTGTTGGCCAACGTGAAGAGGCGCCATTATATACACCTCTGTTTGCGTCGGGGTTAAAAAATAACTAAATTCAAATCATTTGAATTTTGCTGCGAGTCGGACAGATGGCAAGTCTCAGTGGAGCAGCGTTGCCAACTCTACGGATTTTACGTAGGTCTACGGAATTTTTTCATCGTCTGCGAAACTACAACTATTAACGATACTTCTTAGGGTTCCGTAGTCAAATGGCAAAAAACGGAACCCTTATGGATTCATCATGTCTGTCTGTCTGTCCGTCCGTATGCCACAGCCATTTTTTTCCGAAACTATAAGAACTATGCTGTTGAAACTTGGTAAGTAGATGTATTCTGTGAACCGCATTAAGATTTTCACACAAAAATAGAAAAAAATGCAATAAACTTTGGTTCCCTATACTTAGAACTGAAACTCAAAAATTTTTTTTCATCAAACCCATACGTGTGGAATATGTATGGATAGGTCTTCAAAAATGATATTGAGGTTTCTTATATCATTTTTTTTAAACTGAATAGTTTGCGCGAAACTTCTAAAATAAGAAAATGATAAAACTAAAAAAAATATATGATGTACATTACCATGTAAACTTCCACGGAAAATTAGTTTGAACGAGATCTAGTAAGTAGTTTTTTTTTAATACGTCATAAATCGTAAACCTCAATTTACCTTTCATTCAATCAACTCAAATATAACAATTTAAAAAAAAACATTTAATTTCATAAACATAAACCTTATGCATAAACCGTGAACCATTATTTTCTAATAATAAATCTGTAAAAGGTGCCTAAGTAAATAATGTTACTTGCTGCTATGGAACCCTTCATGGGCGAGTCCGACTCGCACTTGGCCGCTTTTTACTTACATGTGCAGCTTGATTCGATGTTATACTACAATTGAACTCACAACTAGAATTTTACATGACAGAAAGAATTTCTCCAAAAAATTGATCTATTCTATGACAAAAATAAAAATTTTCGATCCTCTTACGAAGTCTGCAGACTTATGGATATTTTGAAAGAGCATCTACGGAATTCCACGGAAAATTTTATACCAAGTTCGTAACACTGCCGTAGAGGTTGGCCGCCGTGACTGAAATTCGGTCTGGAGGACATTATTATTACATAATGTCTTGCGATTGTTTTCACTTGGTGGTAACTTTATTAAAATCACAAAAAATTCACATGTAAGCTTTTAAATAAATAAATAATTACATAAATAAAATATGTGTGCAGTTCAAATGCGGTAGAAGTGAAACATTTAGAAAACTTTATTTCGAGAGAATGTGACGAATACAGAGTATCAGTACTGCTGATTCAGCAGTAGGATAATTTTAGGGTTTTTTTTAAAATTATAATGTTGTCATCAAGTTTAAAAGTAATTTTACATTTTATTCTACTAATAAGTGTATTATGTTACATATAATACTGATTCCATTAATTATCGCTAGTACTTAAATATTTCCTAATCAACAAATTTCGTCTTTAATCTTTACTGCTCATAGATAACAACATGCATAATAGGAAATACTGTATACTGTATACTGCATTCTACCACATTCCCTCGCAGGCTAAATCCTATGGGTGTATATGTTTGTCTCTTTTTAGTTTCGCTTTTTCGTTTCATAGAGTTTGTAAAGAAGTTTTCACTTCAACAATAAATAATAAAACCACTCACACTCATGCTCTCGGCCCTCTTGACCAGTGCATCTGTCCGTGGCAGCCGCTCGAAATGTGGAGCCGGCACCAGCGTCTCTTCGGAGGACGCAGCCGTGAGCGCACCCGTCCCGCTCGCACTCGTGTTCGCCGTCCCGCTCGCACCCAGAAGCTCCACCTACAGACGCATACATTGCTGTACCAATCATGATATAGAGGCAGTGACAAACAAGCACACAGTCCACCTGATAGTAAGTGGATGCTGTGGCTCATAGACGTTTACGTCTATCATCGATTTACAATTAAAATGCAGATGCGTTGTCATCCCTGTGGACTAAGGTTAAATGCCACGTTTCCAGTAAAAAGAGTACCCGGTTCTCTACACCCACCATATCAAACACAGCAGCATTAAGCTGCTATTTCACGCTGATATTCTGCCAAGTGTGGCAACTATGGCAAATATTCCCCCTATGAGACGGTTTAAAAGGAGGCCCATATTTAACAATGAACTTTAAAGTCTGCAAGCCGTAACCTGTTTGTTTTCAAATTCGCATATGTTTATAGTGTACTACAAATGGTGAATCACAGCGCCATTGAAAATTCCTTCCTTGTAAAAATATATCTTATTACTTATAAGAGTTCTGGAGTATCGATAATGATGTTGAGTTCATTTTAGAAAGATCCTCCGAAAAAACAACTGACGTCATGCCAAGCGCGTGTTGGCGTTATGTAAAATCAAACGAAAACCCCGCAGACGCGGCGAGCAGAGGGTTATATGCATTACAACTTAAGGAACATAAACTGTGGTGGCAGGGGCCATCCTGGCTCTCAACATTCAACAAAGAACAGTTACAAACAAAATCATATACAACAAATCATGATTTAAGATCAAAACACGTACATGTCACCCAGAAACAAGAAGATCATACGATTAATAATTTGTTACAAAACTATAGTTCATTCAACAAAATAATTCGAATTGTCGCTTGGTTATTGAGGACACTTGCACCGAAGCCGCACGTGCAAAGGCCGAGCTATATCACGTTACATGAACTTGCTGCCGCAAAAATGCTGATCGTGAAGTATGTGCAACACAATGAATTTAAAACGGATATTGAACATTTACGTAAATCGGGCACAGTAACAACAAAAAGTAAAATATTAAATTTAAATCCATTTATTGACGAAGCCGGATTGTTGAGAGTTGGTGGTCGGTTAAAAAGATTGCAGTTAAATATGGAAACAAAATATCCAAAAATCATTCCTCGAAACAGTCGCCTAGCAGAGCTGCTAATCCATGAAGCCCATAAACTTACCTTTCATGGAGGTCCCAAATTGGTGTCTGCTAATCTCAGACAACAATACTGGATCGTTGGAGGACTAAGCGCAGTGAAAAAACAGTTGAGAAACTGTGTGATGTGTCGCAAGAACAAGCCAGAACTATCCCATCAATTGATGGGTGATTTGCCACCTGCACGAACGGAGCTTGCGCCCCCATTCTTCCATACGGGGGTAGATTACACCGGTTTCATAGAAGTCAAGGCCAACAAAACAAGAAGTGCAAGATCATCGAAGGGCTACATAGCAGTTTTCATCTGTATGGTGACAAAGGCGGTGCAATTGGAGTTAGTGTCCGACCTGTCCAGCACCGCTTTCCTTGCTGCCCTGCGAAGAATGTCAGCACGTCGCGGAGCTCCGTGTCACCTATATAGTGACTGTGGAACGAACTTTGTCGGTGCCAACCGCGTTATACAGGAGGAGTACGAACAGCTGCGACAGACATTTGATGACAATTTCTTGAGTGTGCTGGCTAACATGAACATTGAGTGGCATTTTAATGCCTCTTCATGGCCGAGCGCTGGGGGGCTCTGGGAAAGAGCTGTTCAGAGCCTCAAATTCCACCTAAGGCGAGTCGAGGGCGAACAGCGGCTTACGTTTGAAGAATACTCTACCATCCTAGCACAGCTGGAAGCGTGCTTAAACTCCCGGCCCCTGTGCGCACTCACGGAGAATATTGAAGACTTAGAATATTTATCGCCGGCGCACTTCCTTACTGGACGAGCAGGATTAACGATCATCCAAACTATCGAAGACGCTAGAACCAGATGGCATTTAACAACTGAAATATTCTAACAAATATGGAAGAAGTGGAGGTCAGAGTACTTGTTAGAACTAACTGTAAGAACCAAATGGTTTCGACCACAACGGAACATAGGAATTGGGGATCTGGTAACAATCCATGATGACAACCTGCCTGCTGGGAAGTGGCCTATGGCAAGAGTGGTCGAGTTACATCCCGGCAGCGACGGCCACGTTAGAGTTGTAACTCTTAAAACAGAAAAGGGGTATTTAAAACGGCCTATTGTAAAACTAAGCATTTTACCAATTCAAAAAGCAAGCAGTGACAGCGATAGCAGCGAACAGTTGCAAGAAAATAAAACAAGAAACAAGAGGTCAATAGGTCATTCAAGTTTACACTCCATCGTTATGACTCTACTCTTTTTTACAACATTGGTGTCTACGGTGAATGGAACAAGCAACATAACTCATCTGAATGAAAAACAAACATTGTACTTTAACCCGTTGGCAAAACTACAGCTTCTGAGAGATCAATGGACCCTAGTAACCTACTATGAGATGGAACCCTTTTGGGACGGGACAGAAGCATTCAAGAAATTATTAGACTACCTAGAAAAATCATGCATAATTATGGATACAAACAACAAATGTAACCTGATTGTTCCACAGCTACGTCACGAGTATACGGAGTTACAATATTATAATCAGCTGTTGCTGACCCAACATTTTACCGAGCGCTCCAGACGGCGACGACGCGGCCTTATCAATGGGGTCGGTTACCTGGCTAATACATTGTTCGGAGTATTGGATGAGCGATTCGCCGAACAATATACACGTGACATTAACTTTATCAAACAAGACCAAGCCCATCTTAAAAGGTTGTGGATCAATCAGACATCTGGGGTAGAATCCGAATACAACTATCTTAAACGGTTGGAGGGAATTATGGATAAACAACACAAAGCTATAAATAGACAACTAAACAATCTTGGTGAGCCTATAAAGACACTACAACGAGAAGTAATCGAAGTCGATAAGGAAGAAGATTTCACTATGTCGGCAATTATGGCTACCAATATGATTCATAAATTGAAAGAAATCCAGGCAATGATGGTTGAAACGATTACAAATATTTACCAAGGCCAATTCAATTTACATTTGTTAACGCCACAACAATTACAAGAACAACTAAATATTATTGCCGGATTATTAACCAAAGACTTAACACTGCCAGTTGAAAATATACATACAGATTATCACAAGTTATACAGACTCATGAAGATCAGAGCCAGGATAACAAAGGATTATTTTATATTTGAAATTAAGATTCCGTTAATAAGCCGTGAATCATTTAATCTTATAATGTGATCTCCATCCCGAAGAAAATCGGCAACTACGTCTTAACAATATCACCAGTAGCTGAGATCATCGCAATCAATCTCCAAAAGGATAGTTACTTACCTATAACTCAAGAGAACTTTAAGGAATGTGTCTCATGGGATGCCAAAACATTTATGTGCAAACTACAAACTCCAGTATTTAAGATGAAATCTGATAAAGATTTGTGCATCTTAGACAGTACTAATAATGAATGTAAAACAAGCAAACCCGCGTGTGAGAACAAGTGGACTGGATTAAGTACAATGAACACTTACCTTTATTTTTGTTGCGAACAATGTCAGCTGAGAATAATATGCGGAGATCGTGTTTCCGCACACCACCTGATCGGTAGCAACGTCATATATCAAGACGACGAGTGCGTCATCAAAACAAACGACTTTATGATTTATGGACATAGAAATTTTGGAAGCAAAATGAACCTTAATTACGACATACAAATGCCAAATATAGCACCGATAAATCATATAATAAATATATCGTTAGACCACTATTTAGATGACAATGATACTGTAGCTGAACTCACATTATTTAAGAAGGACATAGAAGATAAAATTAAATCATTAAAACAAAGTAATTTGAATGATGGACAAAGTGTATCATTTCATGATATACACCACTACGCTTTAATTTACTGCATCGTCGGTGTTATACTTCTGGTGGGAGTGATAGCAGCATGGCGTAAGGTGCGACGGAGTTGGAACAACCCTAATGTAGACCCGAAAACGGAAGAGCAGCGCTGCTCTCGCCCGTATCCTGCGCCGCGAACCAGCATCTCCACATCACAACAGGATATTCAGATGGTGGACATGAACATTTCAGGAAAACAAGATGTGAAATCGCGCGTTGCGTTCCCTAAATTAGTGCTCACTGATGAATCTTTATAATATGTGTTTCTTAATTTTTAATTTTACTGTTTATGTTATCTTCATCCCCCGGGAATATGTTCGGTGAAACCGAACACCTTTGTCAGCAAGTGGCGCCATGCCGCCAATTTGTTTAGTGCATTTTCGTTACGCAACAGTGGCGGGTGCATTCATAACAAGTTATTAACATTTTTGTAACTGTTTTAAATAAAGTGATTTTTTACTTTTTCGAACGTTATCAATTCAACATTCTTAACAAACAACCAGACACACCCCCGACAAACGTAAAATTTAACATTAGATTGTCAAAAACAACATTCGCGGTTTATAAAACAAAGAACTTGTAGAACTTAGGTGCTGCAGGATCGTGCTGGAGGTTGAAATGAACTTGCGAAATAATGGTTGTACTCAATTTAATAATAAAAGCGAATTTACAAATGACTGCGCGCGACAAAATATGGGCGTGCGCATCGACTCACATATAGTGGCAGACTGACGGGGTTCTCACCGACGAGCACGTCAGAGGCTCCGCGTCTTTTAAAACAAATTTATAACTAAAATAGGTATAGGTAAGTACAATCGATACACAGTAAATTTAATGCCTAACATAATTTTAATTACAAATGAGCGCGTCGCTAACATTCCCCACCCCAGTGCTGTCACAGCACTCATTATTCAGTGATATAGGAGCGACGCGTGCCGCGGATCGACGAAACGTCCTCGAGCCAACTTTCACCTCCACTAACCTGATACGGCCATCCTTCCCGGGAAACACCTCTGTAATGAGTCCCTTTGGCCACGCGTTGCGTGGAGAGTTCTGGTCCACAACTAAGACGAGGTCGCCAACTTGTAGCGGCTTCTGCTCCTCTTCCCATTTTCTCCTGGGTATAAGTTCAGGTAAAATCTCCTTCACCCACCTGTGGTAGAACATGTCCGCCAATCGCTGACTTATACGCCAATGCCTGCGGAGATACAAGTCGGAACTGTCAAACGCCCCTATCACAGGCAAGTTTGATGATGTACCTAGAAGAAAATGGTTTGGAGTGAGGGTTTCCACTCCATCTGGTGCGACCAAAACATGCATTAAAGGACGACTGTTAACTATATTTTCAACTTCAGTTAGTAGTGTGCATAACACCTCGTCTCGCGGTGCCCGTTCAGTTAAGACAGTTTTAAGCGATGTCTTAACGCTGCGTATCATCCGCTCCCACGCCGCACCCCAATGGGGACTGGCGGGGGGGATGAAAGTCCAATCCATCCCGTTGTTGACACCTACGCTACGTAGGTATTCCTGGTCAAGGCCCTGCATAGTCCGTTGGAGTTCCTTATCTGCGCCTCTGAAATTGGTACAATTGTCAGAGTACAAGTGACGCGGCCAGCCACGCCTCGCTGCCATCCGACGCAGTGCCATGATTAGAGAATCTGTCGTAAGGGAGGCAACGGTCTCAATGTGGATTGCGCGCAACGTTAAGCACGTGAAAAGGACCGGTACCGACGCACCGGAGATATTCTATGTTCCTTCCCAATAGTGTTTGCTAACCTTGCAGCCAACAATGCTGCTTGAAGTTCATATCTAGGTACAGTCATTAGTTTGACTGGTACCACCTTGCTTTTACTCACAATGAAAGAAACATGGATTTTGCCCATCGCTTTCCAGCGCCAATATGCTACCGAACATATTGCCTTTGTAGATGCGTCGCTAAATACGTGTAAATGTAGGTTTGCATACCCTGGCTCACCTGTGTTCGTATTCGTAGCACTGCTAGTGACAGCTACGGTTTCGTAGCCCGTAGTAGAATACTGCGTAGCAGCGGTAGATGCGAGCGGAGTGGCCGAGTCGAGAGGCGCGGGCGGCGGCGTAGCTGTTGGCACGGGAGAGGGGACTTCCATCCCGCTTGCGCACGCTATCCTGTCCTGAAAACATGCAATCATCGCGTGGCACCTAGGAATGCGGATATTATCTATTACTTTAAGTAGGTCAATCCATTTCTTCCACTTAGTGTAAATACTGTCAGGAACATAATCGTCCCATTCAATATTTAAACGCCAGGTGTCTTGAAGCATGATCTTACCCTGAATTGTAAAGGGACCAAGAAAACCTAATACGTCGAAAATTGACATTATTACCCTTAACATAAGCCGCTTCGTAGGTCGTTCATTGCCCTGAATAATGTTACTTGAAAGCGCTTTAGTGAGACGTCGAAACCAAGCTTATCTTCTGCTGGAAACCAAATTAGTCCAAGCGTTCGCTCACCTCCATACTGCTGACCGACTTTAAACTTTACTGCACTTGGACCTAAAGTCTCCTTTGGTACGTTATCTAAAACGGCAACACTGTTACTAGTCCAGTTTCGAATTTCGAAACCACCACTCTTGTGAATATCGCTAATGTTTTTAACTAACTCGATTGAGGTAGTTCCATCCGGCACACTACCTATGTAGTCATCCATATAATGAGAGTGTTAGATCGCATTGACTGCGGCCGGCGACGATGACAGTAGGTGTGAATTGGGGCTTCTGCGTCACTTGCTCTCGCTTCGCTCGAGCTACATGCCGCTGAAGACCCCAATTTTCTCCAGTAGAGGTCTAAATTTTTAGTCTATTTCTCGATCCGCTTTTTTTTTATTTTTGTTCCATTTGTAATACCGTTTCATTCGGAATCTCAAATACAAATGGTTCAATAATATAACAACAAAATATGAAGGCTAATCTATTTCATCGTTAAAAATGCAAGGTGGTACAAAAAAAACAGTTACTTTAATAATAAGTACTAATCGTTAACGGTCTGAAACTATTTTTTTTTCTTCTTCTCGAACACAAAGGTAGTTTAAATTAAAAGATGAAGTGTTTATTTACATATGTTTTATTGGAAATCAAACAATCATTTTGTTTTCAAAACATAATTTCTTAATACATAAAAATTTTTTAACGCACATATTTTCTTATGAGTAAAACAGTTATACAGTAAAGTATCTTTACAATAAAGTTCACAAAGAGTATTTAAATTGAGAGGTTCTAAGCAACTTATATCTATGATAGTATTATTTTCATCACAAATATCTTGCACTCATTTAATTTTTTCACATCCTTTTAATAAAATCTTTTTATCCTTCAAATATGTCTTTATAATTCTGTGAAACTCTCTATAATCAATAGAGTCCTCACTCCATCGATATCCTCGATGCTATTCAATCCAGCCAATTTGTTTTTTCTCTTTTGATATAGTTCAGATTTAGAATTTCTTTATTTTATTATTTTATTTATGGTTTTTATTTCGATTTTCGATTTTATCTGAATTTGAATTTAAATGATTCTCGGTTTATTATAATAAAATATAGTTCAGATTTAAAATTTCTTTATTTTATTATTTTATTTATGGTTTATTATTTCGATTTTCGATTTTATCTGAATTTGAATTTAAATGTTTTAGTTTTTATTTCGATTTTAACTGAAAGCAACAACACTAAAATATAGATGAATTTATTATAATAAAATATAGTTCAGATTTAGAATTTCTTTATTTTATTATTTTATTTATGGTTTATTATTTCCATTTTTTATTTTTATCTGAATTTGAATTTAAATGTTTTAGTTTTTATTTCGATTTTAACTTAAAGCAACAACACATAGATATGTAACACTGATTAAACTCAGTTTATTATAATAAAATATAGTTCAGATTTAGAATTTCTTTATTTTATTATTTTATTTATGGTTTATTATTACGATTTTCGATTTTATCTGAATTTGAATTTAAATGTTTTAGTTTTTATTTCGATTTTAACTGAAAGCAAACAACACATAGATAAGTAACACTGATTAAACTAGTAAACTAGCCCTTCATCATCTGCACCATCATCATTACAGCCCTTCACAAGTCTACTGCTGAACATAGGCCTCCCCCAAAGAATGCCACAAAGCACGGTCCTGAGCCACCTGCATCCATCGACTTCCTGCATATCTTACCAGGTCGTCACTCCATCTAGTGGGGGGACGCCCTACACTTCGCATGCCGGTACGAGGCTGCCACTCGAGAACCTTTCTTCCCCATCGGTTGTCGGTTCTTCGAGCTATATGGCCGGCCCATTGCCACTTCAGCTTACTAATCCGTTGGGCTATGTCGGTCACTCTGGTTCTACTGCGGATATCCTCATTTCTGAGTTTATCACGCAGAGAAACTCCGAGCATAGCCCTTTCCATAGCTCGCTGAGCGACCTTGAGCTTCCTCATCCGGCCAGCAGTGAAGGACCACGTCTCAGTTCCGTATGTCATCACTGGCAACACGCACTGGGTGTACAGTCTCGTTTTCAAGTTTTGAGGTATACCTGACGAGAAGATATGCCGTAATTTCCCGAACGCTTTTTAACAGTGGTAGAGCCACGCGGCAGCTTTTGCTGTCGCACGGATGGGCCGGCTCAAACCGGGGTTGTACCTCGACCTCACAGAATACCAGCGTGAAGTAGAGGTTTACCTCTGCGTTTCGCTTGGTGAGTGCAGGTGGCCGGAGGCCCTTTTTACTGGAAATGAGGCATTCCATCTTAGTCCTCACGGGTGGCAGCGCATCTGCATTTTGGTTCGCAAACGAGGATAGATGTAGATGTCTATGGGCCGCAGCAACCACTTACCATCAGGTGGACTGTGTGCTCGTTTGTCACTATTCTATATTCTATAAAAAAAAAACGCTGCCCAACCGAGTTGAATCCGTAGATTGACCTCTCGGTCGAAGTTGGACTTACCAAGTCGGACTATTTGTCCCAGGTAAACATACTCGTCAACAACTTCAAGCTTAGTGTTCCCAACAACTACCGGCATAGGTGTGACATGGACATTAAACATGATCTTTGTTTTGTCCATGTTCATCTTAAGACCTATCCGTTGGGAAGCACTAACGAGGTCATTGAGCATAGTGCTTAGGTCCTCCAGCGATTCTGCCAAAGGACTATATCGTCGGCAAATCGAAGGTGAGTGATGTACTCGCCATTGATGTTGATACCTTCTAAGCTTCTAAAAGTTCTAAGCTTGAAAACATCTTCCAATGCAGCGGTAGAGTTTCGGGGATATGACGTCACCCTGTCTTACACCTCTCTGCAATTGGATAGGTTTCGTACTCTGGTTCTGTACTCGGATAGCCATCGTAGCCCTACTGTACAAGCACTTCAACACTTCGATATACCGACAGTCAACTTGGCATCGCTGAAGGGACTGCAGCACCGCCCAAATTTCGACGGAATCAAAGGCTTTCTCATAGTCCACATACGCCAGACAGTGGCAAATTGTACTCCTCGGACTTCTGTACAATTTGCCGAAGGGTATGTATGTGGTCTATGGTGTTAAAGCCTTTTCGGAAACCGGCTTGTTCGGGAGGCTGGAAGTCGTCAAGTCTGCGCGCGAGACGATTCGTAATGACTCTCGAAAACAGCACGTAGACGCGGCTCAGAAGGGAAATCGGTCTGTAGTTCTTCAAGAGAGCGTTGTCGCCTTTCTTGAAGAACAAGACCACCGCACTTCTGCTCCACGCCTCCGGTGTAATGCCACCATGGAGGACGGAATTAAAGAGCTTCTGAAGGACTTCAAGTACCGGTTTTCCACCCCCTTTCAGAAGCTCCGCTGTAATTCCATCCTCGCCTGGGGCATTGCCGTTTTTAAAGTGCTGGAGAGCCATTCTAATCTCGCTCAGACTGACATCCGGGATATCATCGGAATAATGTCGGATAAGACTCGCTCTTGGATCGTTACTCACACTTGCGTGCGGCTCCAACGATGACGTGTACAGCTGCCCATAGAACCTCTCAATCTCACTCAAAATCTCAGGTGCCCCGGAAACGATGCTGTCACATTCAGTCTTCAGCTTTGACATTTGGCTCTTTCTGGCAGACAGATCTCTGGCAAAGACTTTGGAGCCTTGGTTCCGCTCGATCGCTTCATCAATACGAGCTGTATCGAAGTTGCGTAAGTCCCGCCGCATGCATTTGGAGATCTGTCTGTTCAGTTGCCTGTATGCTGTCAAATCTGTTGAAGAATGCAGCTTCATCTCCCGTCTAACAGCCATGAGATTAAGAGTGTGATCGGAGAGTTTTTGTGCTCTTCTGCGGCGGGTCTTGCAGAACTTAGCTCCGACCGCATGGACAGTTTCCACGAGCTTTTCATTCAAATCGTCCACTTCATTGCAGTCTTCTAGGCACTGAAAACGGTTTTGTAACTCGAGCTGAAAGGTTTCGGGACTTTGGATTAGAGCACGAGGGGGACGGAGCGTTGACTTCATTAGACGAGACCTCTCCAACTTAACGTTTAGGTTCAGTGTGCCTCTAACCATTCGGTGATCGCTGCCGGTTTTCACCCTCGCGATCACTGAGACATCACTGAACAGTTGTCGTCTGGTCGTCATAATGAAGTCAATCTCATTTTTTGTCGGGGCTCGACCAGGTCCACTTCCTGTGGGGCCGCTTCTGGAAGAAAGAGTTCATCATAAATAGTCCCTCTTTCTCCATGAAGTCGGCCAGCTGCTGGCCCCTTGGGTTCCGTTGCCCTATTCCAAATTTCCCCACTTTGAGCTCACCGTTCTCTCTTGTGCCTAGTTTTGCATTGAAGTCTCCCATTAACACCGTATATTGGGTTTTGGAGGAATGCATGGCTCCAGAGATATCCTCATACATTTCCTCCACCTCCTGATCAGGGGTGTGCCGAGGTTGGTGCGTAAACCTGGAAGACCTTCAGCGAATACCGTTTGGTGATTCTGAGTATAAGGTACGCAACCCTCGTCGACACACTCTCAATCTTTACAACGTTGTTAACGAGAGACTTGTGGACGATAAATCCGACACCTCCTTGGGACAGATGGTCGCCCTCCCGGTAATAGAGCAAGTTGCCGGATTCGAGGATTACCGTGTCCTCCCCCTCTCTTCGGACTTCAGATAATCCTATAATATGCTAGCGTAACTTGTCTATCTCTTCTTCCAGATCCACTATCTTCTCGTCAGTCCTCAGGGTGCGTGCGTTGTATGTTGCCAGGTCGAGTCGTCGTAGGTGGCAACCGAACCTCCACCGGAGATTCTTAGCACCCCCTGCCCCGCCGTTACCATGGTCGCCACCGTAGCCAGGAATAGCGAGGCCGCCGGGTACTGGGGGCAGTCTCTTCGTAACTTTCATCATGGGGGTATATTGCCATAGTTGCCACGCTTGGCGAGCGGGTTGGCAACCGCAGTTTTAGTAACTAGCCCTTAGTTAGATACAAAACTGAACGAACGTTGTGATAATCTTCTTTGATGCATGATACCAACTGAGTAACAGTCTTCCACGTTGGGGGGTTTTCTCATCGACAGCTGATTTAAAGCTGATCAGAGAATGCTGCCAGCGGTCGGTTGATGGAATAGCCTCCAGCTCGCGGAAGTTAGAGATGCGCGCTTCGATGTAATATTCTCCTCGCTTCGAAGGCTCGCTCCGGTGCATATATACCGAACCTGTTCGGAATGATAAGTAGCTTTTTAGCTAGGTTCAGAATCTTCATCCTGGAAACAATAAAAATACTATTTAAACAAAAGCATACTGATAAGCAATGAAAAATATTTATATTCCCTCCTACCCCGCATAAATATATTTTTATACGATGCTCATAACATGACTTAGTAGTCTAATTCATTAACAATTGTATCAATCACATCGATCGTCTAAGAATATAATTAAATACGTTTTTATAAAAAAAAAAAATTAACCTATGACTGATAATTTATTCACAACATCCAATCAAATAGAAACTGACTTTTCATCACGCGAATGGTAACTCAAACTATTAAAATTAAATAAGATTTGCTTACCTCAGAATCTGGAAAAACTTTTAATTTACGTTTCCTGCTGGTCGAAGCTGGGGTGAGTGATGATGATGTATCAGCCTCATATTCCGACTCGCTTCCTACACTAACTAGGGAGACTAAGTGTTACGTACATACTTGCTGTCTTGATGATGATGATGATGCTGAACACTTCAGGTCTAGTAGACTGTGGAAAACACGGTGCAACTAATTGTGGTTACACACCTCCCGACATCATATTTTATACCTTACATTATAACGCTATCCCACTTGGAAGTGTTTTAGTTTGACGTATTTTAAAATGAAGAAATATTTCATTTGGTAACTTTGGCATTGACCCGTATTAATGTTATTTATAGGGAATATTTTTGCTTATTAACATTAAATGCTCATATGTGGAAAACATTTAGCATAAATTTTTGCATACGATGTTTAATCAACGTTTGCGTTGTCAGCCCGAAACACCATTGGCGCCAGCCCGACGCGGTAATATGAGACTACAGTGTTTTACAGGTAAAAGCGTGATTTCACAATAATATGGAAATGGGTCAGCATATACCGGTCAATCATCATCATCATCATCATTACAGCCCTTCACAAGTCCACTGCTGAACATAGGCCTCCCCCAAAGAATGCCACAAAGCACGGTCCTGAGCCACCTGCATCCATCGACTTCCTGCATGTCTTACCAGGTCGTCACTCCATCTCGTGGGGGGACGCCCTACACTTCGCCTACCGGTACGAGGCTGCCACTCGAGAACCTTTCTTCCCCATCGGTTGTCGGTTCTTCGAGCTATATGGCCGGCCCACTGCCACTTCAGCTTACTAATCCGTTGGGCTATGTCGGTTACTCTGGTTCTACTGCGGATATCCTCAAACGACTACGCTCTCGCAGAAAACCAGCGTAAAATAGCAGCTTAACGCTGCTGTGTTTCGTATGGTGAGTGTAGAGAACCGGAGACTCTTTTTACTGGCAAAGAGGTATTCCATCTTAGTCCTCACGGGTGACAACGCATCTGCATCTTGAGTCTTTATTGAGGATAGATGTAGATGTCTATGGGTCACAGTAACCACTTACCATCAGGTGGACTGTGTGCTAGTTTGTCACCCGATCCTATAAAAAAAAATCTCAGGATTTTTAAATGAAAATCATGTCTCTTCTCTGGACTTTTAATTTTTTCATCTGGTAACCCTAACTGAAGACAATAATTCTCTCAAGTATAGGTCCAATTTTTTTTTTAGATAGAAGATATATTTATAATGGATCTAAATTTAATAAGCACATCGACCGCTATATGCTGACCCATTTCCATATTATTATGAAATACATCGGTTACCTGTAACTCACTGTAGTCTCATATTACAGCGACTGGTTGGCACCTGTTGATGTTCTAGCTGACGACACAAACATTGATTTGACATCGTGTGCAAAGATTTATGCTAAATGTTTTTCACATATGAGCATTTAATGTTAATAAGCAAAAATATTCCTTATAAATAACATTAATACGGGTCAATGCTAAAGTTACCAAATGAAATATTTCTTCATTTTAAAATACGTCAAACTAAAAAACTTCCAAGTGGGGATAGCGTTATAATGTAAGGTATAAAATATGATGTCGGGAGGTGTTTAACCACAATTAGTTGCATCGTGTTTTCCACAGTCTACTAGACCTGGAAGTGTTCAGCATCATCATCATCAAGACAGCAAGTATGTACGTAACACTAAGTCTCCTCACTCATTAAATAAAATAGAATAATAATGAATTTGTTATATTTTGTTAGAGTAAAGTTATATTATGTTTCGCTTTATAAGTTTTTCATAAGAGTGTTTCTGTATAGTGATATATTTTGTGTTATATTTTTAGGTATTCCAACCCCTTCGAATCAGACGCTGAAGTACAGTCGACTTCGCAAAAGAAAGCGGTTAAAAAACCAGCTAATATATTAAAGACTAAAACAACAGTTCCTAAGTCCAAGAAACGAGTTGAATTATTCGGAAGCGAGTCGGAATCTGAGGCTGATACATCATCATCACTCACCCCAGCTTCGACCAGCAGGAAACGTAAATTAAAAGTTTTTCCAAATTCTGAGGTAAGCAAATCTTATTTAATTTTAATAGTTTGAGTTACCATTCGCGTTATGAAAAGTTAGTTTCTATTTGATTGGATGTAGTGAATAAATTATCAGTCATAGGTTAATTTTTTTTATGAAAACGTATTTAATTATATTCTTAGACGATCGATGTGATTGATACAATTATTAGTGAATTGGACTACAAAGTCATGTTATGAGCATCGTATAAAATATATTTATGCGGGGTAGGAAGGAATATAAATATTGTTCATTGCTTATCAGTATGCTTTTGTTTAAATAGTATTTTTATTGTTTTCCAGGATGAAGATTCTGAACCTATCCGAGCGGGGATTTTAAAAAGCTACTTATCATGCCGAACAGGTTCGGGATATATGCACCGGAGCGAGGCTTCGACGCGAGGAGAATATTACATCAAAGTGCGTATCTCTAACTTCCGCGAGCTGGAGGCTATTCCATCAACTGACCGCTGGCAGCACTCTCTGATCAGCTTTAAATCAGCTGTCGATGAGAAAACCCCAACGTGGAATGCTGTTACCCAGTTGGTATCATGCATCAAAGAAGATTATCACAACGTTCGTCCAGTTTTGTATCCAACTAGGTTAGTTTAATCGGTGTTACTTATCTACGTGTTGTTGCTTTCAGTTAAAATCGAAATAAAAACTAAAACATTTAAATTCAAATTCAGATAAAATCGAAATAATAA